CACAATCCCTCCATCCCTCCATCCATCCCTCCCCCCCGTCTTCATATGTGGTCCCCTCCTTCCCACCCTCATCCCAACCTTACCCTTGGCCTACGCGATCTGAAAAGGCCGACCGAATGGTAGCAAGACCGGGGAACCTCTACATCAAGCGCGCTACCTCGAAGATCCCTGTGGGTTGGCTTTTGACTGGCTTGGCCCTTGGCCTTGGTAGATGGCTTTGCTGGACTTGAGCCTTGATGGATATTAAGGATCCCAGAGAACCTCGATGCTGTTCGGACAGAGAAAACGGCCTGCTCGTGCCATTATTCTATCCTTGTTTCCCATCTCTCCATTTACACTACTGCTGTCATCCTCTCCCTCAATAGTTGCCCATACTAATCTTTCCGAACTTCTACTATTCACCTTTCAGACCCTGGTCTTGATCAATCTTGGTCGCATACCTCCCTCCGTACCCATCTATCAAAAATACATCCCTCCTGCGTTTTTGTTTCTCTCTTCTCCATCTTGCACCTTATTCTCATACTCCTCCATCAGCCCATCCTTGATTCTTGTATCAACATCAGGAGCGTCGAACCAAGCCCAACTCTCTTGGGCAATCCCGATCCATTTCGACGACCATCGCTCCCTTCTCTACCTTGGTCCTTCGTATCACACACAATTGTCGTCTCTTTTGAGCATTTCAAAGTAGCACCCATAGGCCGTCTTCTTGCCGCCTCTTTTAACTTGGGAAGCCAATTCCCAAACCTGCGCTTTGATGGCTGAATTCGCACATGTGCGTCAGGCCGGGCAGCCCTATGGCGCCGTGGACCCTCATATACTTCGCCAGTCCGGCGCCCAACATCACTCAGCCTTCTCCTTGTATCCTGGGCCCGAGTCGGGCCCCGGGGAATGGCAAATGGGCGACTACATGGCTCAGGCCTTGCTCAACTACGCCCACCCCCACGCGAACCCGCACCATTTCCCCCAAGGCAACACTTATACCCACGAGACTGGGACACAGGAAAGCAGCCGTGCCAACCATCAGCATCGCCATCACCAGCAGCACCATCAGCACCGCCCGCAGAAAAAGAAGAGACGGCCGGACCGGCGTAGCGGCAGCGGCAGCGGCAGCGGCAACGGCAACGGCAACGGTAACAGCAACGGCAACAACAGCAACAGCAATGCTCACGAGTACACCTTTCCACATCACCAGGGTGCCGACCAAATCAACTTGAGTACCTCGTCAGCTCCGACCTCGACCCCCATCGACGCCACTGCTCTGGATCACGAAGGTCCACCTGCCGCGCCGCCGCCACCGCCCGCCAGGGGACGACAACAATCCTCCAGCCGCCGGGGTCGACCTCGGAAAGTATCCTCCCCGCCGCCCTCCACCACCTCCACCACCTCCACCGCCTCCACCGCCTCCACCACCCAGAACACGGCAAGCCACGGGCCCAAGCCCCTGGCCCCCAAAGACCACAGTCAACATAAGCGGCGGGCTTCGTCGCCCGATGATGCTCCTCGTCGTTCCTCCAACGCCAGCACCTCGACGGCAACCACCACCAGCAGCAGCAGCAACAACAACAACAACAGGCCTGGCGAGACGACGCCTCCAGACTCGCCCGCCGAAGAAGCCGCCAGCACCAGGGAGGAGAAGAAGGCCCGTCTCCGCCTCCGCAACCGCCAGGCCGCCCACAAATGCCGCCTCCGCAAGCAGCGCAGCATCGCCGACTTGCAGACCCAGGAGGCGGCCGCCGAGGCCATCCACCAGGCTCTCGCCAACGAGGCGTCCATGCTGCGCGGCGAGGTATTGATGCTCAAGTCCATGATCCTGCAGCACGGGAGCTGCGACTGCCCATTCATTCAGGACTACATTAGTAGTTCTGCCGCCAAATTGACGGCCACCCAGCAACAGCACGAACAACAACAGCAGCAGCAGCAGCAACAGCAGCAGGAGCAGAACAAGAGGCTGCGCAAGTATAGTACCGGAAGTGTCATTACGACCGCCGGTCCTCCTGACGGGGCATCATTCGCCTCGTCCCTCTCCTCTGTCGCTTCGTCTCCTGGCTACTCTTCCCCCGGCGACTTCCCACGAGAAGACGACGACGGCGGCAAGTCAACCGCGGCTATTATGCGCCGGCCGCACGATAGTGCTAGTGCTAGTGCTAGTGCTTCTGCCGATGCCAATGCGATTGTTGAGGTTGAGGATGGCTTCTCCACCGGCGGTGCCTGGGCCGGTGGCGGCGACGGCGACATGGGTTTCGGCTACCTCGCCGTCGGACAGGGGGAGGGAGACGCGCGTCATGATGGTGTGGGCGTGGGCGACAACGACATGCGCATGTCGACGGATCCTACCGTTCCACGATTGACCGCCACTGCTTAAAAGTTAAAAAAGTTGGGAGGTTGGGAGATGAGGAACATTCGTTACCAGCGACTTCTCGTGATGCGCTTTCCCCCACCTTCGTTTCTATTTTCTTTTTCATGTTCTTCTTCTTTTTTTCTTATTGCGCTGTGATACTGGCGTTGGCTAGGAGCGGGGGAAATTGTCCAATCATTTCTACTTTTATTGTATCACAAGGTGAGGCGGCTTCGCGACCATGACATGACGGTTCGGGACCACGAAAACATGATACTTGGCGGTGGTGCAGAGGAGGGGGCCAAAAACAGGGGGAATCTACGGGGAGTAGAAAAGGGCGGTGGATGGGAGGCATCATTCACCTCCCTCCCCTCACAGCTTGTTACCTGTATTCCCGAGCAAAACAAAAGGATTTGTGGGATATATGCTATATGGCCATGCCACCTCGTACTCACACACCGTCACTGAGCATATCTTTTGACCTTCAATCCTTTCCAGCCGGGCGCGTTCAGTTCCCCATGCCCCCCACGGTCGGGCCCCTGCAGTTATACCGGATAACCTCCTTGATGCATATCTTCGTGGGATTATGGTCAGCACGTAACAGTTTCCATGCCGGCCAAAAAAAAAAAGAAAAAAAAAAAAAAAGATAAGAGGGGGGAAAGGTGGTTCGTCTCCAGCCAGGTATCGGCGACTGGGCCGCCGTCCTCACTCACCGGCGCCCTCGGCTCGCGTCGGATACCGGTGGAACGCCTCTTCACCAAGCCCATCGTGGACAAAATCGATCCACATGATCCTCCTCAGCCGCTTCTTCGCCTGGTCCCACGACGAGCCGAGATACGGCGGCGCCAAGCCAGACAGCCTCGCCGCCAGCTCCTCGTCGCCGTCCGGGTCGAAGACGGAGATGAAGCCGATGACGAGGACCCAGGCGAACACGTGGTTCTCGTCGTCGTGGGCCGGCTCGAAGGCCAGGCAGGCGGCGCGCAGCTGCGAGGCGAGGTGCGGGTACCGCATCTTCACGTAGGGGATGCGCAGGAGGAGGATGGTCATGTAGGCCAGCAGGGCGAGGCGGAGGAGCTCGAGCAGGGGCGGCTGGTCGGGGGGGAATTCGCGGAGGAGGAGGCGGTACTGGATGGAGGTGAGGAGGTCCTGGAAGACGCGGGGGTCCATTTTCTGGCCGGATTGGAAGAGGAAGTTGGAGAGCTGGGAGAAGTCCTGCAGGTCGCGCAGGATGTTGTACAGCTTCAGGTCGAGCGGCTTGACCAGACGGCGGACCTGGTGGCTGGGGCCGGGGAGGTCGGGTCGTAGGCGGGCCAGGGCGGGGGACGAGTCGAAGAAGGAGTCCCAGGAGATGGTGTCCTCGAAGAAGCGCGGCTTGGATCCTTCGCAGATGGCGATGCCCAAGTCTACTCTGTATTCGTTTACGTGTTAGTAAGAGGGGAAAAGAAGAAAAAAAGGAAAAAAAGGAAAAGGAAAAGGAAAAGGAAAAGGAAAAGGAAAAGGAAAAGGAAAAGGAAAAGGAAAAGAAAAAGGAACCCCCCCCCAAAATGCATGGCTTCACTAGTCGAGGCAACTCACCGACAAATCTTGACCTGAAGTTGCTGGTTGTGGTTAAAAGACTGAATCCCCCCGCGCAGCTTGACGATCTGCTGGAGCCCAGCCGCATGAGCCTGCGCGGCGGCACTGTCGCCCATGGCCTCCCCCAGCATGGCCATGCTCATGATAACGGCGGCGGTGGAGTCGGCCAGGGCCAGCTCCTTGTCGGCGAGCCGCGCATTGAGGAGCTTGATGGTCTTGAGGACATGGTAGCTGGTCATCTTGTCGGGCGGACGGCCGGCCAGGGCGTCGTAGAAGCTGTAGACGGTGTACAGGACGGAGTGCAGGTAGGCGGCGTCTTCGAGCATCCAGTAGAACCAGTGGGTCCTGGTGACGTCGAAATGGCAGCACAGCTCCATGGGATACATTACCTCCTTGATGGTTCCGAAGACTAAAGGCGGATGGGTGTGACAGGCGTCATGGGTTAGGAGAGTGGGCAGAGAGAAAGCTTGAAAAGGAGAGGACGACGTGGAAGACAGCTAGACGAGAGTGGAGGTCCCACTTACAGTCGGTGAGCACACGGAGGGAGGAAGAGTCGAGCTCTTCGGCAAATTTGACGGTATTGAGATCGTTCAGAGAGTAAGGAAGGAGGCGGGAATGCCTGGGTAGGAGGTCGATGTCGGTGGATGAAGTTGTTGCTTCATCTGACGAGAGACTGCTGGCCGTGCTGTCCTCTGTTACATCCGTGGCACCGGAATCACAGGAGGACGGTGACGGTGTAGGCAAGGCCGGGACAGAATCAGGACCAGTGGAACAGGAGATCCACGAGTCGGGGAGCTCGGCATGCGGTCTCCTGCGGGTATTCTTCCCTCGCATGACATGGCTGCGGATGAGTTTCCTGTCGGCTGCTGTTGGGGTTCCCTTCGGGCCGGCCACGACGAAAGCAAACTGGGTTTTGGTTTTCGGCTCTGTGGTTGTGGTTGTGGTTGTGGTTGTGGTTGTGGTTGTAGGTCTCTGGATAGACCGCGGCAGGGCACTGGCACCGGGAGGATGCGATGTCATACCGGCAGGCCGGCCGGGCCGGTTGCCAGTGGCCATGTGGCTCGTTCTACTGGGACGTGGATCTTGGCCACGTCAATAATGCTTCAAATTAATTGCTACTTCTCGTAATAATTGGGCAACGGGCGGCGGACGGGCAAGGTCAACAGAGTGGGCTTGATGGAGATGTGGGAGGAGGGAGAAGACGCGGGATAAAGCTGGGCGCTCTGGGGAGTAATGCCGTCGTGTCTGTCGTATCTGCCGTATGCAGGTAGGGTAGTCAGCTAGACAGTACTATGCAGAGTAAACCAAGAAGACGGTGTAGTGTAATTAGAGAGTATCCAAGGTAGCAGGAAAAGATCAACAGGGAATGACAAGTTCGAAGGTGGGCAAAAGAACCCAAACAGCCATCAGCCCTGTCGCTTGTCACTTGTCACTGAGCGGTTTGATTATCTAATCCAGCCCGTCAGTCGAGTGATAGGTGATAGGTGGACTTGTGCCGCCAAGAACTAGATCATAAACCTTATCGGGATTAGGGCCAAGCGGCGAGGGGTCTAGGCATCGTTTAGGCAGCACTGGTAGTGGGTCGCTCCCCATAGCGGGCTCGGCGTTACATACCTTAGGTACCTAAGTACGTACCGGACTGTGGGTTAGCCACAAGCCAAGCCACGATTGCTTAACTAAAAGGGACATTGGTCGTTTCCCCTTTAGGTCATCAGTCGAAGTCTTGGCAAGACATCTTCGACCTCGTGCCGGGCTGCGTGCACCGCGTTCATCTGATTCTTTCCCGGGACTCCGTTCTGACTCCAGGGGGAAATGCGACAATGCGGCCATATTGGTGCCTGTTCGGCTTATGGCCACTTATATGGCATGCTTGTGTGAGCTGTGCAGTGCAACCCAAGGCTCTCAGTATGGCGCGGCCGCGCGACAGACGACTCATCTATCGTTGCTATAAAGCCCATCGAGAGCCCTCTCTTGATTCTTCTGGGATGGGTTCCTGATATCACATCAGCAACTACAATACTCTTCGATACCCCCGGTCCGACTTTGGTGCATCACCCCGTAGGGCCCGTACTTCACTGAGCCTTGCACCATGACGACCGCTTCCTCCAGCCTCCCTCGTCTCCCCCAAGGCTATCTGAGTCTATTCCGCAGCTCACAATGCACAAAGCCCCAGTTCCCACCCAAGGATACTGACCTCTCAGGGCAAACCGCCATCATCTCCGGCGCCAACGCCGGCCTCGGCCTCCAATGCGCCCGTTTGCTCCTGGACCTGAAGCTCTCCCACCTCATCCTGGCCAGCCGGTCCCTCGAGCGCGGGAACGCCGCCGCCAAGTCCCTCCGCGAAAACCACCCCCAAGCCACCGTAGAAGTCGAAGTCTGGGCCCTCGACATGGCCTCCTACCCGTCCATCCAGGACTTCGCGCGCCGTTGCGGCACGCTGCCCCGCCTCGACCTGGTCATCCTCAACGCCGGCCTCGTCAACCCGACCTTCGAGCTGGCCCCCACCGGCCACGAGGAGATGTTCCAGGTGAACTACCTCTCCACCGTTTTCCTGTCCATGCTCCTCCTCCCCGTGCTCGCCGAGAAGGCCCCGCAGGGCGCCCCCGGCCGGCTGACCGTCGTCAGCTCGGGTCTGTCCATGCACGCCAAGTTTGCCGAGCACGCGGCCGATCCCTTGTTCCCGGCTTTCGGCAAGCAGGCCGGCTTCGATCCCATGGAGCGCTACGCCACTACGAAGCTCCTACAGCACCTCTGGGCTTACAGGCTTGCGGACTTTGTCAGCGCCGACGACGTTGTCGTCAATCTGGTCGACCCGGGGTTCTGCAAGGGGACGGATCTGCATCGGAATGCGTCTGGCGTGGTCAAGATTATCATTGCTTCTGTGAAGTCTCTTACTGGCAGGTCTCTCGAAGCCGGTGCCGCGACGTATATCGATGCGGCTGTGATCAAGGGCAAGGAAAGCCACGGAAGCTACGTGATGGATTGGAGGATTTTCCCGTGCGTCTTTTTCTTTCTTTCTTTTTTCCCTTTTCCTTTTCCTTTTCCTTTTGTCATTGCCCCGATGATTTGATCTCCACGTCTTACTAACGACTGCCAGCTACGGGGAATTCTTCTACACCCCTCACTGTAAAGAGGCAACCCGGAAATTGTGGGATGAGACTCTGGAGGCTCTCAGCTTTGCCGACGTCAAGAACATTCTGGCCGAGATGAAGGCGCGGAAACGAGACTGACATGACCCCTCTTTTTAATTTTGTGTTCTGGAATCACGGACAGCGAGAAGCCTGCTTGCTTTCGGATGGACGGAGCACTACTCCAGAATAATGTTCCCGGTAGGGGGGGTCAGATGAATAGTGTAAGAGCTTCGAATTTGATAATCAGACACACATCCAATATTTACTACTATTTACGTTGAAATAAACAAGCCCTAGTCGGAATAATGATTCTCGTAACTTGAAGAACTTGAACATTCGCGTTGGGATGTTTGCCCCCCTAAGCTGAACTATGGAGGCAGAACCTGACGGACTACTGAATATACGAAGTAAGATTTGAATTAGTCCGTACGAGGTTATACGGAGTACCATTGAGCTTGATGAGAAAGCCTCGTATATCTATCTCAACTGTGAGGCTTGACGTGGCTAAACGATATATCCCAAAATCCAGCCCCCGATGGCGCCCAGGTCTCTTACACGACAAACCCTCTATCTTAACCTTTTTGCCGAACCTTGATGTTGCCGGCGGGAATATGTTGGTCGTTCTATAAAGGAGGGCGCACTCGAAGCCCCCCCTTTTTCTCCCCTTTTCTCCCTTTTTCGCCCCTTTTACTCATGGCACGCCTCTGACCACCCCGTTACAGCACGAGAACCCAGCGTAACGACAGCGCTTACCAGGCAAACTCATTCAACCGAACAACCCACACACACACACACACACACACGCACTTCCGAAAGAATGCGTTTCGACGTTACCATCGTCGGCGTCTTCGCCGGCCTCGCAGCGGCCGCTCCGGCCGTCGTACCCATTGTTCGCGACTGCACCGGCGCGAAGGCCGCGGGCGTTCCCAGGTGCCGCGACCCCAACGAACTCGGGGGGATCCTCCCGCCCCATGCTGCGATGCTTAAGACCCGTCCCGACAACGAGCCTCGGTTCCGCGAGCAGGATTCTGTTGCCGACCTCGGAGACCGCACGGAGAAAGAGGAGGCCGGGGACAAGAAGGAGGCCGGGGAAAAGCAAGAGGTCAAGGAGAAGACGAAAAACGAACCACGCGGGTTAACCTCGATAGTGCAGAAAGCATGGCGAAAATGGGCCGACTGGATCGGGCGCATGAAGAAGCAACATTTCGCCAAGAAGAAGAAGGCTATAGAGAAGAGACAGAAGGCCAACGAGGAGAAGGCTATGGAGAAGAGGGAGGTTGCGGATGAAGAGATGCCCATGCTACTGCCGCCGCCCTACACAGGAAAAGTTGTCAACGAGGCCAACGGGGAGGAGGACAACAAAGCCAACGGGAAGAAGGACAACAAGAAAGAGGAGACTACGGATGGCCAATATGGAAGGTTCAACTATTATTTAATTCCCAACGAGGAACAGTGGAAGATCCACGGGATCCCGAAGGATACCAAGGCCAAGGAGGAGCGGGATACACGAAAGACGGACAAGGCCCCGCAGGAGGAGCAGGTCGGCAAGGCCAAGTGGTCCAGGGACGCGTTCGCCGCCTGGTTGGCCAACGGCAAGCCGGGCCACATGGACCAACCATGCCCAAAGTGCCCCCCCAACTACAACGTTACCGCCGTGAGGAACAGCGTGGACGAGAAACGCATGCAGGACGCGTTCAAGGCGTTGGCCCAGTACGACGACAACGAGAAACCGGAAACGGAGAACAACAGACCGGCGGGGAAGCGGCACAAGCCCAAGGACAAGCGCCCCCACGAGCTGGTCAGGTACCGGCTGCTCAGGCGCCCCGACCAGCGTCTTGAGGCGGCGGCGGGGGCCCAGGAGCGCACCGAGGCCGCCGCCAGCAAAACCGACGACCAGGGCGACGCAGGAACGACGCGCGCCGGGGCCAAAGTCCGGCGGGTCAAGCGTGCTGACTTCCGCCCTCCACGGTTTTATGGGGAGGACGATCACCCCCATTACGGGTGGAAGTGGAAGGACAAGAAGCAACAATACTCCAAGGACCTCATGCAGTACAAGGAGCCCTGTCTTACTCCAGAGGAGAGACAGGTATTGGAGCAGGGCTTAACGGTACCGGAGCAGTGGGGCGTGAAGGAGGCCCGGCTAGAGAGGAAGCGTACCGGGACAAGTCAGGGGGACAAGACTAGGTACATCGAGAAAGGCAAGGCTGCAGCGGACAGATACGACGCTGCCTGGTCGAAGCTGAAGCTCATCCTGCACGAGAGGGCGCAGATGAGACGGTTCGCGGAGATTGCGAAGAAAGAGGAGGCCAGGAAGAAGGAAAAGGAGCGCGCCGAGGCGGCCGAGAAGGAGAAGAAGTGCGATGGCACCGAGGCTAAGGAGAAGGAGAAGGAGAAGGAGAAGGAGAAGGAGAAGGAGAAGAAAAAGTGCACCGAGGCTGCCAAGGAGGAGCAGAAGAAGTGCGCCGAGGCTGCTGACGAGAAGGAGAAGCAGTGCGCCGAGGCTGCTAAGAAGGAGGAGGAGAAGAAGAGGGCCAAGAAGGAGGAGGAGGACGCCGAGGCTGCTGCCCAGAAGGAGAAGCAGGCGTATCTCGAGGCCGTCGAGAGGGACTATCTGGACTATCTCAACGCCGCCGAGAGGGACTATCTGGACTATTTCGACGACGTTGAGCAGGAGTGCGTCAGGGTCAAGAATGAGAAGAAGCGCATGAAGGAGGCCGGGAGGGCGCCCGAGCCGAGGCCGAGGCCATGCAGCAGCGCCCCGGCGCGACGGAGGAGGGAACTGAAGGTGTCTAAGACCAACGCCGGACCGACTAGGATCGGGGACGACGAACACCGTCCCTCTGTCCCGGTCGGTGGTGGTGGTCTCGACGCTATGATTTTGTAATCAGCATGAACGGTGGTCAGATTGTCCGTCGACGTGATTTTTCTCCGCTTCTATCCAAGGAATCCTTGAAGTGAATTTGCAAGAGGGTTGAGATTGTTAAGGGGTGGATGAAAAGGGGGCGACTTGCCAGAGACGGGACAAGATTCCAGATAATCTCAACAACACAGATTCAGTTAGCTCACTCACTCATCCTGGCTCGACTACCCTGGTGATGTTGTGTTAGTAGACTTTCTCGTTCATGCCCTCTTCCTCTCTCTCTCACCTCAGCGTCATAACAATCGTGCATTAATAAAGACGGTATCTACAACGTCACGGCCGGAATCCCTCCTCCGACGCCGCATCAGAAACGTTTCCATGTCCATAACCCATGTCGAGCACTCGAGAACGCTCAGTCGACACTTCCTCTCCCCTGCGTAAATAGTTCAGTTCAATTCATGTTGAGATATGGGTATGCAGTCCGACGCCGGCCTTATGCAACTCCGGTCTCCCCCCAACGGGGCCGCCGAGTTTCCCGCGAAAGAAGCCTGGTATAAACTGCTGGGCTCTTTTGAGCCATCGCATATGATCGACGGCTTCTCCTCTCCTCGGCCCTTCGTTTTCTTCCCCCTTATTACGGTCGAGCGAACCCTTGCTTGGCCTGAGAGTTGTCAGTACAATGACAAAAAATAAAGCAAAAACATGATCGACATGGTCGAAACAGAACCCACGGCAGAGGGAGACATAAAAAGGTCGGAATATTCTCACCTTCATCTGCTCAATCCGTGCCTTCAGCTGACTCGTCACCTCAGCAGCCCGCTTCCAGCTTTCCACCCCCCCAGCAGCAGCAGCAGCCGCCGCAGCGCCCCCACCGCCAACACCGCCGTTGTAGCCGGCGCCGCTTGACCCCGAGCTGACTGCCGTGTGAGACGGCTCCCGCATGTTGTCGTCGACGGGGGTGGCCACGGCACTCCGGAATCCCCTAGCCGGACTGCCCCGTCCCGACGCCCCCCCATAACGGAGGTCGGGGCTGAGCTTCGACCGGTGGTAATGACCTTCCCCGTTCTCCTTCTCCTCGGAGAGCGTGCTGGCGAAACTCATGCGGTTCCGACTACCGGAGGCCCCGTAGGAATGATCCCTATAAATGCCCACGTCGTCATGAGTCGGCGACGAGATGCCTGATCGTCACGGTTAGCAGATAAAGCGAGGGGGGGTATGCGCATCGCTGAACGAATCAAGGAGGGGAAAAAAAGGGGAAAAAAAGAAGAAAAAACGAAAAGAAAAGAAAAGAAACAAAAAAGGAAAAAAAGGAAAAAAAGAAAAAAGAAAAAAAGAAAAAAGACTGCTGCTTACTTGGACTTGTCATGCCAGCCCTGGAAGCCAGGCCCTCAGCATTATTAAGCGCCCTCTTCAACCTGTCCAGCTCGCGCCTCAGCCGCTCATTGACCTGCTCGGTCGCCTCGGCATCGCTCCTCGCCCGGACCAGCTGCGTCTCCTTGGCCTTGATGCTCAGGACGTCGCGCGTGTGGTCCTCGATCAGGCCGGCGTTCTGGTTCTTGAGCTCCTGGATTTCCGAGAGGAACTTGTTCCGCTCGTGTCGCATCTCCTCCACCTGCCGGGTCAGCCGCTCGTTCGCGGCGCGCAGCTCCTCCAGCTCGGCCCTTTCCACGGCCGTGAGCCCGCTGGACGGCGGGGGCGAGGCGGGGGGCATTTGTACCGGCGCAGGGGTCGGTTTGGCTAGTGACCGGCCGGCCAGACCGCCGCGACCGAGTCCGAGACGGGGTTGAGCTAATGGCGGGGCGGCGGCGGCGGCGGCTGCAGGGGCCGGATCGTCGTCTGGCATGATCGGTCGGCGGGGTGATGCGGCGCCTGGGCCCGCAAGGCGCTTCTGGGGCGCCTTCAGTCCGGCAAGACCGGACGATTTCGGCATTCCGAGTTTGCCTGCCCCCCCCGGCGCCGATCTCGACGTCGGCTGTGGCGCGAGGGGCGCACTCTCTTGCGCAGCAACAGGCGGGCTCGGACTCGAGGGGGGCATGATGGGTTTCTTCGGGCCGCCGGCTGGCTTCCTCGCTCCTCCGACCGCCCTCTTCGGACCACCGGCGGCAGGGGGAGGCCTGGCTGCGGGAGGGGGCGGCTTCGGCTTCTCTTTGGCCTTGACCTCGGCGGTGTCGAAGAATTCCTTGATTTTGTTCTTGCGAATGTCGTCGAGCCCTTCCAGATGCGGGTTCATGGCCCGGTCTCCGACAATCTTCATGACGGTGCCGAGGATTTCGGCGCCACCGGATCGCAGACCCTCGCTCCCCTCGGACAAGAGCTTCTTGCCCGACTCGACGATGGAGCCAATCTCGGCTTTGCTGGGCACGGTGCGGGTGGCCCGAAGACATCGGATGAGGAACTTCATGGTCCCCTCCTTGACCTGAGGGTTCTTGTGGCCGAGGAACGAGGTGATATCCTCCAAGCATTCCGACAGGCTGGTGGCGAGGAAAACCTGGTCCAAGGCAGCGCCGAGTGCCTCGGCCACCGTCTGCTTCTTCTCCTTCAGACGCTCCATGACGGGGCCCATGACGACGGACCGGTGTTTGCCGTAGGCACTACGCAGGCCCTTGGCGAGCACTTGGATACATTGGGCGGCCTGGGTGACGACGGCGACGTTGGCATCCTTCATAGACTTGGCCAGGCCTCGGTTGATCTCGTTGAAATCGCCGTCCTTGATACGCGGCACGTTCAGGGCGGCGTATAGACCTTCGAGGGCCTCTTTGCGGTCCTTCCACTTGGAGGAAGCCAGGTTGTCGTGGAAATTGGGGGGGATCTTGGCAGTGACGTCTTGGGGTTCGGCCAGATCAAAGGCGTCGACCTCGGCCGGCTCCTCGTCCCCCCCCTCGGGGCCGGCTCCTTCGGCTTCCCCTTCGGCAGGGGGAGGGGCCCGGGCCATGGCTTCTTGTTGGGAGCGGAGGAAGCGCTCCTGCTTCGGCGCGGGCTCGGCCTTGACCTTTTCAAACTGGGCTTCGAGGTCGGACTGCTGGGTGGGCTTCAGGTCTCCCCAGAACATGGGCTTCATGGCGTCGCGAAGCCATCGGTAGAACTCGACGGCAAGGCTCTGGGCAGCGGCTCGCACGTTCTTGTCGGCGTGGCCAAAGGCTTTCGGCAAGGCCTTGAGCACGGGTTTCGGATCGGCCGTCTTGCAACCGTAGCTGTGGTAGATGGTGACGAGGGCGTTGAGGGTGGCGGCCACGACCTTGGGCTGCTTGTTCGACAGGGCGGGGAGCAACTCTTCGATGACGGGACCCGGTGCGTCGACGTCGATCAGGAGGAGGAGGGCCTTCAGAGCGGACTCCTTGGCTGCGGCGCGCGTCGACGGTAAGCCCTTCTCGACGAGGGGAACGACGGTTTGGTTTCGCGTCCTCGTCCCATGTTCCTTGCCTCCGAACTCGAGGAAGGCGCAGTAGGCGGCGAGACCCTCTTGTTGAGCGGCGACGTTGGAATCTGCAACGGCGCCTTTCCATAGGCTGGAGTCTTGTAGGAAAGGTCGGAAAACTTCAGCGTATTGGTCGGCGGTGGCAGCGAACTGCTTGGCGCCATCTTCGTAGGCTTCTTTGCGAACTTTCCATACCTGAGAGAGAAGATGTTTGGTGAGGGACCGTCTTTTTCCGGCAGGGAGATTGGGAGGGCACACAGCGTGGGGGGGGGGAGATGGGGGGGAAGGGGGGCGGGGGCGGGGGAGGACGCAAGGTGGAAGGGGTACAGAACAGCATGGAAGCCAGGATACATACCTTGTGCACCCACCGGTCGGTCAGGGGCAAGGAGCTAAAGTCCGGCTCGTCACCCATCTGGGCGGTATTCCCAAGGAAGGGACGGCGTGTTTTAAAGCGGAATCGAGAGAGGAGAGGAGGGGGAGGGGTGTGGTTGCGGTTGCGGTTGCGGTTGCGGGTGTGGGCGCTCTGGTCGTCGTCGCAGAACTGTTGGCGTTCGAAGGCTGGTTTCTTGATTAGCCGGCAAAGCGACGAAAAGCAAAGGCGGAATGTGCTGCCAACTTGACGGCGACGCATTTTTGGGAGAATCAAGGCCAAGCACCACAAGAATCATGACGGAGTGTGTGAGGGAGGGGGGTAGTGGTAGTGGTAGTGGTATTGGTAACGGTAACGGCAGCGACAGCGACAGCGACAGCGGCAACGCCAGAGAGAGCATATAGCATACCAGTGGGACAGAAGACGCGCCTGGCAGAGAAAGAAGACCCAACAGAGAAATCGGTCGATCACAGAGGTCTAGTGGTCAGGTTGGCGGTAGACCCTGTAACCTGTAACCTGTGAATCTCGTCGACCTCCAGGCGGAATGGTTCTGGTTCTGGTTATGGCTCTAGGCGTTGCAGGCGGCGACAAAGAGCAATGCGGTGATGCGGTGATGCGGGTTTCTTCTTTCTGGGTAGAAGACTTGTCGAAGCTTGTAGAAGAGGGAGGCAGCGAAGGCATTCGTGATGGACGACAGACGATGGATAATAGGAGGAAGGTCTGAGTCTGAGGTCTGGGCCAATAATGGTCGTGGTCTAAGGTAGAGTCAACGAACAGTGAACGTCGGGCTGCCAAAAAGTCGAGAGACGGTGTGGGGTTTGGACTTTGACCGTGTTGACCGGTGTTGGCAGGTGAAGTGGTCCAGGTCGGTCGTGGTTGCCCCGATCAACAACCTTGACTGATAAGATACAGATAAGATACGGATAAGATAGGTACCTCACTTCAGTACCTTACCTTACCTAAAGGTACACTACCATGGGGGCTAGCTACCTGAGTGTGCCCCGCCCGCCGTTCTAGCGGTTGGTGTGTGGTTGGTTCAGTGGGGTTTCACCTGAAGCGATGCCTGTTTTAGCGAGTTTTCAGGTACTGAAGCTCTGACGACCACACGAAGTCTCCCCCCCTTTTTTTCTCCCCCTGTGTCTTCCAGCACTCCAGTCGTCGAGTCGACCTTAATGGCGGGGCATCGACAAAATCACCCCCTAAGCAACCCAACCAACCCTTTCTTTCCATCTTCAGTCTGACCCAACACGCCTTTTTTGCCCTTTTTGCCTTTTGCTGCCTTTTTTTTGCCTTTCTCAACCTCTTCTTTGCATCGTTTCGCAATCCAGCGTTCAGAATATGCACTTGAACGTCATGACATTACGACTACAACTACCTACCAGTATTTTCGCTTCGTCAACTTAATATCATCTTGTCGCCTCTTCCCCTGTCGCCTCTTCCCCTGTCGCCTCTTCCCCTGTCGCACTCGGGAATTTTTGTTGCCCTGGGTGCTTGCGCCGTAGGACCGGACACACCAATTTACCGACCAGCTTCGATTCGACTTGGACCTCAACCACACGACACGGCCATTGCATTTCAGTTCATCTTGGACCTGTTTGCGCTCCTCGTCACCTCGACTGCCGATAGCCTCCCCTGTTCAAGTCGGAGTCTCCTTTTCCCCGAATCGAGTCCCCGACCCACGAAACTCGGCAGCTTTTTATTTTATTTTTCTTCCTTCTTTCCGCCATATCGTGACCCCAACCGATATAGAGATTGCAGGAACAAATAAACGAACGACCATAGGAGCAAATCCACCAAACAAAATTCGACACCCATTCGGGCCCCATATCTTCCTCCACCACTGACTGAATCCCCTCTCTTGGCTCTCCTGCTCTCCTGCTCGCTCGACCGGCGGCCAGCATGAGCCAAATCTTGACGCCCCGGCAAGCTGATGAGCTGCACGTCTTCCTCCCCCCCCCCCCAACGGCCCATCTCCCTGCACCTGTTTTGTCACCGCTTCTTTCTCTAACCCAACTCGCTCATACAGGCACAAAGCCATCATCGCCTACCTCACCTCGACCAACCTGCAAAAGACGGCTAGCACGCTCCGCGAGGAACTCAACATGGGCGATTCCTTCGATGAAGCCACCACCAAGAAATACGAGGGCCTACTAGAGAAGAAATGGACCAGCGTTGTGAGATTACAGAAAAAGGTGCGGCACTACCTTTTTTTTCCTTCCCGCCCCGCCCACCGGGTCATTTGCAATTGACACAGCTTCGCTTCGGCTTTGGGGTAGATCATGGAACTGGAGTCCCGAGTGGCCTCGTTACAATCCGAACTTGACAGTGCTACCCCGACATCTCTCTCCCGCCGAAACCAAGACCCCACCAGCTGGCTACCGAGGTCACCCGCCCGCCATACTCTTGAATCCCACCGCGAAGCCGTCACATGCGTAGCATTCCACCCCGTCTTTTCCTCGCTCGCCTCGGGCTCCGACGACTATACCATCAAGATCTGGGACTGGGAGCTGGGCGAGCTGGAACGGACAATCAAGGGCCACACCAACACCGTCCTCGACCTGGACTTTGGCGGTCCGAGGGGCGGCACCCTGCTGGCGTCCTGCTCCAACGACCTGACCATCAAGCTCTGGGACCCCTCCGACGGCTACAAGAACATCCGGACCCTACCCGGCCACGACCACAGCGTGAGCGGCGTGCGGTTCATCCCCAGCGGCGCCGCCGGCGCACCCAGCTCGGGGAACCTCCTCGTGTCGGCCAGCCGAGACAAGACCCTGAGGATATGGGACGTGTCGACGGGCTACTGCCTCAGGACCCTCAAGGGCCACGTCGACTGGGTGCGGGAAGTCTGCCCGTCCCCGGACGGCCGCTTCCTCCTCTCGGTCGGCGACGACAGGGTAGGCCGGCTGTGGGACATCAGCGCCGCCAACCCGGAAACCAAGCTGACCCTCGTCGGCCACGAGCACGTCCTCCTCTGCTGCGCCCTGGCCCCGCCGGCCTCGTACCCGCACCTCGCGCCGCTGGCCGGCCTGACCAGGCCGCCACCGGCGTCGAGCGCCGCCGAGTTCATGGCCACGGGCGGCCGCGACAAGACGATCAAGCTGTGGGACGCCCGCGGCAACTGCGTCAAGACCCTGGTCGGCCACGACAACTGGGTGCGCGCCCTCGTCTTCCACCCGGGCGGCAAGTACCTCCTCAGCGCGTCGGACGACTACACCGTGCGGTGCTGGGACCTCACGCAGGACGGCAGGTGCGTCAAGACTTTGTCGGGCGTCCACGGCCACTTTGTCTCCTGTCTTCGCTGGGCGCCGGGCATCGTGCGCGGGGAGGTGGCGGCGAACGGCGGTGGTGGTGGTGGTGGTGGCGGCGACGGGCCCAATGGGGTGAATGGGACGCCGAGCAAGAGTAGTGCGGCGGCGGCGGCGGCGGCCAAGACGACGGAACAGATGCGCTGTGTCATCGCCACGGGAAGTGTGGATATGAAAGTGCGCATCTTTGCGAACTAGACGAGTCGAGCGAAGGGAGACAGAGTTCGAAATTTGGAACAGATGCCGTGTGCTCCAGCTACGCCACTGTTGCTACAAAAGCCAGGTAATGATGGCCGCCTCTCTCGGCGACAAGAAAAGGAGAGCGAGGGCTGGATTGACGATGATGATATAGATTTACAAGCGGCGTCCGCGGCTGTTACATGACGGAATAGATACCCGCATACCCTATTATGCCAACTTTTCGCGTTTCCCGAGTTTTTAAACCCTTGGACGAGTATCCGTGACCAAGTCAATGAACGTCGCCTAGTGATACCGATGGAGTCGAGGGTTTTTCATGAAGTTAGTCCCGATAGAAGAAGCAATGGGGACACAAGGACCACCTGGAAGCCTTCAGAAGACGATCATACAGCAGAAAAAAAAGGAAGGGAAAGGAAGGGAAAAAAAAAACGCTGGTCTTGGCCATCTCTGTCCTGGGTATCCCCGTCTGCTTCTGCTTCTGCTTCCCTCTCCCCTCCCCGTCTCTATATTTTTCACCAATCCAAAGTTATCAGAAAGCTCTCACTCGGCGTGGTGCTTTCGCCTCAGAGTATGGCCCGTCAACAAAAACAACAAGTCATGATACAAACGTACGTGGTTATTACTCCACCATCCGATGGCCTTCTCTTTTTTTTCGCACACCCTTGATGCTTCGAACAAGGGCTTCTCTTCAGTCATGCCGTCTTCAAAGCCGTCCAAGCCGATTGTCGATTTCCGTAGCAAAAGACGAAAAACGAGCAGCGCCATGGAATGGTATCGACGCCTTACTTGACGTGAACCACGGTCCTGCCACTGCGATGGTAGGTGGCGAGCAGGGTGTCGCACTGGGAAAACGAGAAGGAAACATTTCACATTAGCTTTCCGCGCTGTTTTCAACCAGACAAAGGTGTCCCAAGGGAAAAAAGAAAAAGGGTAAAAGGGGAAAAGGGAAAGGAAAACGAGGAGGCCACGTATTCCTACAGCGCCTCCTCCCATGGGAAGCGGGTAATAGTGAGCCGCCGATATCGACCTACCTTTGCGCACTTGTGCGTCACGTCCTTGAGACGGGCAAAGAGGTAGGGGATGCAGCCCAGGCAGGAGAGGAAGCAGATGATGGCGGCGAGGCCGTGGGTGAAGCCTCCGGCCTGGAAGTCGATGACGGTCACGCCGTAGTGGTTGCAGGCCGGGCACACGACGTCGGTCTGCTGGTCCGTCAGGGAATGCAGCGGTGTACCCCTGGGCTGCTGCTGGCCGTACGGCTGCATGGGGTAGGAGCCGCCATGTGCCGGACCGGGAGCATAAGCGGGATGCGGACCTGGAGCGGGGGCGGACCGGTCTTGTTGTAGCGGCTCTTGAGCAATGGGGGGCGCGTTGGCGTCGGATGGGCCCGCGGCGTAGGCGGGGGGAGGAGCCTCGGCGGGATAGGGCTGGCTGGCTCGGGCGGCGGCGGCGGCTTTGGTATCGCTGGACATGGTTGGAGGGGGGTTGGGAGAGGAAGAGGAGCGGGTGTGTTGAGGGAACAAACAAGACGAGGCAAGCTAGCTAGCTGGTTGTTGGCTCGACGGGATGGGCTGAGTGTGGGAGATGGTGGGAGGAAAGGGGAGAAAGGAGTTGAGAAGAGAGGAACACAACACGGCAGGGCAGAGGAAAAAAGAGGAAGAAAAAAATTAATAATCATAATAATATGAGCAGCAAGGGGTTGGAGTAGGACGACAGCCAACGGAAGACAAGACCCTGGGCGTTGGCGAAGGGGTACGACATACAGGAAGCCATCCGGTTGGCACAAAGCTGTTATTTAAATCATTTTCAGAGACATGCACTGCTGCCCTGCCACGCAGTCTGCCGAGTCCAACGGAGGAGTGTACGCCGTGAGACCCCTGCAGGGCCGCATGAGGATGGAGAAGGGGACTGGAGGGCGTCTACAGCGTAGGAAAAAAAGAAAAAAAAAATTTGAGTGCCGAATGGCTGAGTTCAGGGTCTGACTGGGAATCTGCCTGTCCATCCGTCGCTGTCGTCGTCGTCGTCGTCGTGCTCAGTGTTGTCTTCTCCGATCTTCGCCGCCAACAGCTCAACTGTCAGAAATGTGACGCTGAACAAGATTCATGCCGAAAATAAAGACAAGTCTCGCGGCGAGCTTTCTTATTCGGCACTGAGCTTTACACGTATGGGCGGGCCAAGTAGGCCAATCCTCCTAACACGCATCATCCTCATCAAGACGAAGGGGTGAGAACGCAGCGCAACGGCTCGCTGCGTTCAGAACAGTGGCTCAGCATCATGGCAGTGAAACCATCCAAGGACTTTTAATCTTCATTCGTTCACTATTATATTTATTTATTCGTCAACTTTGTCTTCTACCTTGTCCTACCAACCGCAACCTGATCCTATCCGTCTCCTTTCTGGCTTTCTGGCCCCCCCCCCCTGACCGATCCTTGCCTCACTCTTATCTTTAATATCCACAGATCCCAAATTAGAAGCAACGAAAGAAAAGGATGACGACGACGCACCCCGCCAAGTGCAAGGTGCCCGTCAAGCAATCTTATCCGCCTTACAGTGCTCCATTCTCCTGATGCACGTCGTTTGATTGGCACCTGCTCGCCGGCCGCCAACGGGGACCGCTAATTGGGGAGGAAGGGATCTCGGAGTACGGTGTAATTACTGTCGGTCTTTTGTCTTTTGTCTTTTGTCTTTTGTCTTTTGTCTCTTGTCTCTTGTCTCTTGTTTCTTCTAAAAGGCTCCCAGTGTCGGGGGATAAACAACGTCCATCTCGGAATGCACTTGAAGCCGGTCCTATGGTACTCAAAAACAACATTGAACCACGCATTGGATAGGTGAAGACAAGAGCAGCTGAGTCGGATTCGACGGATCTGAACGGTAGCGTCCGTACTCCATTATAAAGCCTTCAAGTAGAGTCAAAAGGGGCAGACAGAGCGCTATTAGGTCCTACATAGACGAGTCTGATATTCAGGGGTAGAAAAAGCTCAACAAATCGTCTCCGACTCGAGCCTCTCCAGCAGAATAAGAACACAAACAACCAGTGCAACAACCCTGACTTGTCCTTCTTCTTTGTAAATAAAAAAAAAAAAGGCCCCTTATAATTAGGCATGTCAGCTTGTAATTTGGATTATTTACAACCACGACACCAGGGTATGGGGAAGGCGTGCGGATTACTTATAGACACCCACCAAGTCCTTGCAGCCCAAGGGCAACCAGGACATGGCCATGATACTCGGTATTTGATCAGCAAAACAACACAAAACAACACAACACGTTCACGAATCTAATTTCAACTCATTCGTTACTGTTACATGACCCCTCTCCCCGTCCCTCTCTAACCAGGGACACGATAATCCAAGGAACCGAGAAGAAAGAAAACGAAAGAAAAATCGAGAGTACACACATATATAATACAAATTGCAAAACTCTCCCTCGTGAATCCATACAAGAAAGACCTCCCGAACCCTCCCATTTCATAACAGCCCCTGAATCCAATCCCCCTCACCCAAAGTCCATCCCAACGTGTCTGTTCATTGCAAGTCATGTGCCCCGTTTCCTGGAAGAAAAAGCGCTGCTGCCGGTTCGGTTCGGGCCGGGCCAGGCCCAGCATTTTTTTTTCAACCCCTACGGTTTCTGCACCACAATTTCGTCCTCCTCCGGATCCTCGATGCTCGTCCGCCGCTTCGCCTCCACCGCAGCCTGCACTTTCTCGTCGCCCTCTTCTTCCGCTCCGGGAGAAGCAGCGGGGGCGCTCACACTACTACTACTCTTATCTTCTTCTTCCGCGCGCTTCTTCTTCTCCTCCTCCTCCTCCTCCTCCTCCCCGCCATTGCCGCCTTCCGTTTCCTTCCCCTTCCCATTGTCCCTGCCCTTGCCCTTGCCCTTATCCTCATCCTCATCCTTCACCTGTGCCTCCGTCTTCTCCTCCTTAGGGCCGAACGGCCACAGCCCCGTAAACGTCTTGGGGTACCCCGACGAAGACCCCGCCGCCGGCGGATGCACGGCAAGCGGCCTGAACAACACCTTCTCGGTCGGGTCCGTGCCAGGCGCCGGCTCGGCTTCCGGCATGGTGAAGTCGCCAAACTCGTCGTCCTCGTCCTCCGCGTCATCCTGGTCCGAGTCCGAGTCGCCCCCTCCTCCGAACCGATCGGTCTGACGCCGCCGGACCACGCCGCGCCACCACGAGCCGCGGACCGACGAACGCCACGGTCCGCCGGCACCCTCGCCCTCGCCCTCGTCATCGCTGTCCATGTCGTCGTCGCCGTCGTCGTCGTCTGCGAACGGGTTCCGGAGCCGTTCCCGAGCAGCCTCCCGGGACCCCGGCCTCCGGTTATCATCTCCGGCCCCCCCGCTGTTGCCTCCCTGGGCATCGCCGCCACTAGCATGATGCTGATTCTTCTGGTGCAGCGCCAGTCGCGCCGCAAGCTGCATGCGAGCACGGGAGGGGGGGATGTTCAGTGGAGGTGGAGGAGGCGGCGGCGGCGGAGGGATGGACGGCGGGTTCATGGAAGTCGACGAAGATTGGTTGTTGAGAGGCTCGGTGTATGCTCGGAACTGGATAGTGTGTCAGTTGATCCGGACCACGCTCGGCAAAACGGCAAAAACAGGAAGATGGGAAGGAAGGAACGTGAGGGGACATGCGCTACTCACCTCATTGTTCACATCCTCTTCGTTGTCTTCCGTGTCGTCGTCATCTTCGTCGCTCGAACTGCCAAACCCAGACATCAACGTGCCGGCACTGATAGCGAAAGGCCCGATCCCACCATTGCCATTGCCGCTATTCTCCGGCAGGTCCATGCCACCGTTGAGACCCGCCTCGGCAAGCGCACTGGAGCCACCACCGCCCTGAGAGCTCCCGCCAAACGATGGGCCCAGACCGGAGAACCCGGCTGACGGGAGGCCACCCCCGCCGGGCATGGCAGCTGCGCGCCCGCCGAGAGCGACCTCGGGCCGGACCCCGCCGAGGATGGCATTATCCCGCTCCCTCGTCTCTGCCAGCGCGCCTTCGACGTAGTTGATCCAGCTCTGGTCCATAACCCGGTCGAGGACCGTCTCCGAGAGCAGCTCGGGCGGGTGGCGCTCCGTGAATTTGACCACCTCTTCGGCAATCAGCGTCAAGTGGCCCATGTATCCCATGCGTGTCTTCCTCTTGGCCTGCGATTCGTCGCTCGCCAGCTGCCCATCGATTATAGCCTTTGTGATGTCCGCCGATTCGAACAAAGATACTGCCAGGGTCGGATTGAATCCTCTGTCCATGGGCCCGTTAAACACCTGCTGGACGATATCATAGACCACATTGTGCAGGAAGTTGTTCCAGGGGTAGGCGAAGAAGAAGGACTGATCAGATTGTTAGGACACGCTCATCCACGCCAAATAAAAGGGAGACGGGGGGAGAGAGAGAGAGAGAGAGAGAGAGAGAGAGAGGAAAAAAACCGAGTCGGTTGAACGTACAAGAATAATTGGGACTACGTTGTATTCCACAAACTGCATCTTCAAGTAATCACCCACCACTGCGGGAGGAGGATGAGGAGCCGGAGGAGCATGCGGGACTTCCGGTACATCTGGTGCCTCCGGTACCTCGGGGGCCAATGGAAGAGGACCAGAAAATACTGCAGCATCTTCGCCATCCTTGGAAGTCATTCGAGGGGGCTCAGGCGCCTCAGGCACCTCAGGTGCCTCGGGTGCCTCGGGTAGCTCGGGTGCGGCAGGCACCTCGGGGGCTTCAGGAACAAATGAAACCTCAGGCACTTCAGGCACTTCAGGGACTTGAGGAGCGTCCGATCCCTGGGAGACGGGCTGAATTTCCGGGACTGTGCGGGCTCCGGGGACCGCAGGAGACTCGGTGCTGGCTGAGGCTTCCTGTGTCTTCGGGGCTCCAGAGATCGCAGAAGGCTCAGCGGTCACTGAGGCTTCTGCCGCCTTCGGAGCTTCGTGGACCACAGGGAGCCAATTGCTGCCCGGGGCCTCTGGTGTCGTCTGGGAGACGTCGGGGGTATCGACCGCCATCGGCGTAGGTGTCTTCTTGTCCGTACTTTTCTCATCCTCGTGCGACTGAACGGCGGGTGCAGAAGAGTCGGAAAAGAGGGGCGCTGGGACCTCAGGCCCAGCCGGCGGAACAATCGAGGTGTCTGTGCTGGGCTTAGATTCAGTTGCAGCAACGGGTTTCTCCTCAGGGCTTTGTTCTCGTTTGGGTTCCGATTCCGGTTCCGGCTTTGGTTCCTGCTTTGGTTCCGGCTTTGGTTCCGCGACAAACGGGGGATTCACAGCCGAAGAACCCAGATCCTTCGCCTTGTCGCCGTCCTTCTCCTCCGTCGGTTTGGTCTCCGACTTTGTGTCACCAGCGGCGTCGACTCTCCCCGTGACCACGGTCGCGTTGGGCTGGACAGAGGCCTTTGTGTCGGGCTCCGACTCCGTCTTGATGTCCATAGGTTCCCGGGTAGTCCCCTCGTTCTCGTTCTTAGCTGCGAGATCCGACGGCGCTTCCGGCTTCGGCTCCCTGATTTCAGCCGGGTCTTGGGAACTGGGGGTCTTCTGTTTGGTGGGCGACAGGGGCGCGACCATGAGATCGGCATCTTCAAATTCCTGCTCGGTCATCTTGGCGTCGCTGACATGAAGCCTCGGCGAGCTCAGCGGCTCGTCGACAAAATCGCCGTCGTCCTTGTCGAGGAACGACGATGTAGCAGGAGCAGGTGCAGCTGGGATTTCTTCCTCGGCCTTGACAAACTCGTGGGAGGTGTCTTCGTTCATCTCGCGACTGGGCTCGACCTGCTCGAAACCGTCGTCGTCAGAAATATTGGTGACTTCCAACCTCCGACCCTCCTCGGGCGACGACTGGCTCATGTGCAGCGTCATGTCGTCAACTGATGTGGAATGAGCTTCCTCGCCACGGTTAGGTGAAAGCCTCCCTTCTCTTCTCAGACGATGGCGTTCAGCATCGCGGGCGGCGATCAACTCCTCGGAGCCGACCTCGTTCAACAAACCCATGTTGCTGCAGTGCAGAAGTTCGGCCATGAGCTCGCAGGTCTTGAAGCGGTCGAAGCCGAGCGGCTCGATCTTGTTGCCGAAGGTGGACACGGCCTTGGGCGTCTGGGCGGGGGCGCGCATGATCAGGTTGACAAAATCCGGGACATGTTGGGCGAAGAGACGAAGTAGGGTGCCCAGATAGATAGGGTCGCGACTGGAGGGAACGGAATTGGCCTCGCTGCCGACATCGGGATCATAGTCCGAGTTGTTCTTCCTGATGACTTCGATAACGATACCCACGCCCACGGTCAAGGGATTGCCACCATGCAGCATGAATTGGATGAGCTGTTCGATGCATGGCTGGGAGACCAGCTGCCTCGTCAATTCGTTGGGACCGATACATTGTTGGTCGTTCTGCGATGCGTTGGCTGAGATGGTGATGATGGCCTTGATGAAGTCACCGGCTGCTGTCTGAACAACCCAGTTGTTCTCGGGGCTGAGGAAGGCAAGGAGAGTCGGGACCAGGTCTTGAGAGTAAAGCCACTGTAAGAAAAAAAAAAGGCGAGAATGATTAGGATGAGTTTGCTGCAGAGACCGAGCGCAAGGAGATGGATGGAGGGAGGGACAGGAAAAAGGAAATGGTTTGGGGCAGAGGGCCTTACCTCGACAATGCCCTGGCCACCTTCGGTGCGGTCCAAGGCGACGATCTTGAGAAGGAGATCCATGATCATGGGACTCTCGACGTGGCGTGCTAAATGGGGAATGGCTTCAGGCAGCGACTTGAGAAGGTTCACCATCTCTTCCGTTTTCTTGTCGAACAGGGCTTCGTTGACCTTGGTGAAATAGCTGGCTTGTAGAGGATCGAGTGGCGTGGGCTGTTGGAGGAAGGTCCAGAATCGGCGAATGAGAGGTTCATTCTCGAGCAGAGCGTCGTAAATAGACCAAGTGTCGGAGGATAGGACCTCGGCAGCGATGTAGGCGTACCGATTGCGCTTCCTCTCTTGCTCTTCGTCGGCGCTGGCATCAGATTCCCTGGACGAGGCACGGGGCCGCGAAAAAGGCCGGAGGAGGCTCTTACCCTGGTTACCCTCTTCTTGGCCATCTTGATCATCGCCATCGTTCCCAGGAGATGCAACAGGCTCTAGCTTGGGAGCGACGACATATTCCAGCAGCTTTGCGAGGACGTCGTCCTGGCGGAGGTAGTCGATGAGCTTGGCATTATGTGACTTGAGTTCTTGGATGAGCTCGCCCTCGTCGAGGAGGTCTTCGATGGTAAAATCGGGTTTCTCGAGAATGGTGTCGATGGGGGAAATGTTGGCGTAGCCGCCAAATCTCCAGAACATGTTTGCGGATTCGCGTCTGCTTCTGCGCCTGTCGAATCTGTCGACTCGGGTAGGGCTACGTCACGGCAGCAGGGAACGCGTGCCTGCGCTTTCTCTTGGTAGACAATTGTATCTCCAACCAGTCGGGTGGACAGTCGACCATGCGAAGCTCGAAGCGTGGTTTGGCGAAGGGACTGACGAAAGAGCGGGAGTTGGAAGGCTGTCTATAGGTTCACGCCGAAAAACAGGGCAAAGGCAAAAAAGGAGTCGTGGGTATCGAAAGCGCTTCGTGGGCCGAGATCAAGGCTATGCATGGTAGAAGGTTGGGGTCAGCAACAGCTCTGGAAGAGGCAGGAAGTAGAACACGTTTGAAGCTTGCAGTGAGTGAGGCAAAATAGAGCATAGAGTGTCATGTGGTTTAAAGTATTAGCCGGTCGACTGCCTGCCTTTGTTGGCGTTGCTGGGGAGTGTACTCCGAAAGGCAGGGCAACAATCCGTAGAGCAGGAAAAGGGGAGAAAAGGTGCATGCAAGAAGCAGGAAGGGAGGAGAGGGGGAAGCAAAAACCATTGAGTGATGTGCGCTGTGGTGGTGATTTTGCGATTGTCATTATAGGCAAGGCCCAAAGGTGGAGGAGTGAAATGCCCACACCAGGCCAAAGTAAAGCTCATAGCTCACCCTCAAGGCCAAAGCTAAAGCAATACCACTAGTGCATGGAAACAGGAAAATTACATATGGGAACTGCCAGACAAGGAGATGTGGAGGCTCAGAGAGAACAGGCGACAACAACAACGACAGCGACAACAACGACAGCGACAACAACGACAGCGACAACAACAACGACAGCGACAACAACAACGACAACGACAACGACAACAACAACAAGAAAACAAAAAGAGCCCTTGCAGGCATACGTACAAATGGGAAAGCTGTGTTGTACAATAAGAATCGTTGTTGCCATGGATCACTTGGCCAGAAGCGAAGGCGTCGTCGGCAACCGGCAGTGAGAAGTTGACGTCGACGTCAACGTCGTTTTTGCAGTCAGGATCGATCCGAGTATACGAATAGGCAGGAGTTTCGTCGTCGGCTCGGTTCGGCTCGGTTCAGTTCGGTTCTCTTTTCTACGGTTGTATTCGTAGAGGCGACGTCGTCACGAGTGTTTTGGAAGTGTATTCGTCGAGTGGGTGTGTGGAAGGAATGTCAAATGACACGCATCGAGTCATAGGAGGGAAAAGGGGAGGAGGGTGAAGATGCGGGTCCTCCGACAGGTGGCGCCGACTCGACTGGAGAAGGGACGACGGAGGTCGATGGTCGGCGGTCGGTGGTCGGTGGTCGGTTGGAACACAATGCTAATTAAGGTACGGAGTATACGGCGAAGGTTGTGAATGGCTCTAAAAGGGTTGAGGGTTATGCTACGGTTCATCGTTGGATGGAGGATCCCAAGTCCCAACCTCGGAATTCTTTCTTCAGCCTGGGGCCACGCAACAGATCTGATGACTAATGACTGATGGGAGGTGACTTTCTCTGTCGGGCGTTACTTCGTAATTATTTCGTAGTGCGTCAAGGATCCATAGGTGTGTACCTACGGTCTACCTTAAGCACAAGGCGCGAATTAGGTAAGACGAGATAAGACGGCGAAAATCTCCTGCCCTTATCAGAGGTATCGAGAATAGGCACCTAAGGTAACCAAATCGTCATTACATAATTACACGTGTTGCCCTGATTACGTACTCAGCTTTGTCCGTAACAAAGATCTCGGCAGGTGTTAAAATTAGTAATGACAAAACCCCCCTCTTTTGCTGTCCGCTCCAGGGCCTGCGGATATCTTCGACTGGAATTTATCCCCACCATTCAGCTACCTTTCAGGCAACTGAGAGAATCACAATCCAAACGGAGTCTCCAATGAAAACAAAAACAGCCTACACCTTCTAGGTCAGGTCGTTGGCTGTGAAGAGTGCTATTTTCTGGGACTAATATTGTTCCAGTGGTGGATTGGAATCCACGCTCCTCAATGACCTGACGAAGCTGCGATGGTCCAGGGGATGTCTGACGCCCCTTCACACCCCGGCCTCCCAGACTGGTCACATCTCCTACCTACCTCATTAGTTCACGAGCTGGTCATATGGACCCCTGTCTCTGGACGAGATCACTAGCGCGGTGGCTGGGTTCGCTACGAGACTACTACGAGCACTAACTGTTTACAGTACCTTAGCCAGTTGCCAGTGGCCCCCCATGGTAGCCTCGACGCAACGCCCCCCCCCCAACCCGCATTTGGCACCCTGCGTCTTCGTCCTCTAGTGGAGTCATTCCTTGGGAACTAACAACTTCACCGTCTACGCTTTGTACTGCATCGGCATCGTGCTGCACGCCAGGCCGGCTGACGTCTCCCGGTTTCATGGGGCTGTCTGTGATGAGGCCATTGGGGTTCTTTTATATCGTGGAGTGGATGGACATCTTCACCTTTTACGGGGAGTTTTCTCCCTGAATGGACCAGTTGTCCAACCACCGAAACTCGAACTTTTGCCTGCTTCCAACCCATCATGACGGAACAACCGCAACCGCAACCCGAAGAGACACAGGCACCCAGCAGCATCGCCAGCAGAAAACGCGTGCGAGCTTCGGTCGCCTGTAATCACTGCCGTGCGAAGAGGTCCAAATGTGATGGTCTGCCTGGCCAACGGTCCTGCACACAATGCAAGCAGAGAGCGATTGAGTGCGAGATGCCAAGCAAGAAACGCAACCGGTATGCACTGATGGCTTTTTTTTTTTTTTTTTTTTTTCCTTCTCCTTTTTTTCTACTCGGAGACTGCGGGTTCCGTGGGTGCATAGAGGCCGTATTTGCTCACCATCTCAGGGGTCATTACAAACCCCAAGCAGAGGCTCTAATGAGAAGAGTTCAAATGCTTGAAGTCGCTCTAGCCGAGGGCCAAGCCACAGCATCATCGTTTTCGGCTTTGCAAGTGCCCGTTAGTCTTATGGACCGCACTTCCACCCAGTGGCTGCATCCGATGCCTGATTCGAATCCGTCCGTACTCTCGGAAGTCGTCGACGATTTCTCCTCCGCCGCTCTGTCCTGCCCTAGCGGCACCAGTCTGAGTCTGACTTTCGAGTCGCTCAACAGTGCAGAGGCCAGCGGCCCAAAGCCGACGGCCGCCCAACCTTCCCAACCTTCGGGTCACTCGTCTGGTACAAACGACAACTCGTCGTTCAAATGGGCAGCGTCGAATCCTCCGCCTCATCATTCTCCTCATTCGAATCCTCCTCCTCCTTCTTCGCTCATGCTCCGTCCGACATCTTCAGGGCAGGAATTGGACCCCCTCAACGTTCCTCCGCCAGTTGTCGACTACCTGCTTGGCCTCTTTTTCCACAAGTTCCAGCTCATGTTGAAATTCATATCGCAAAGAGAATTCATGGCCGGAATGGACCCCACGACCGGCGAAACCCCTCCGCCCCGCTCTCTTCTGCTCGCTGTTCTGGCTGGTGCCCTTCGGTACGCGACTCGGTCAGAGGTCATCACAGCATATATTCGGCCTGATGGCGAGAATGTACTAGCCACGGCCGCCAAGAAGGCGTTCGAATCCGAGGTGTACTCCCGAGACATCTCTACCGTTCAGACTCTCCTCATCCTTGCAGAGGTCGAAATCGACTCGGGCAATGAGATGTCTGGCTTCATCTATTCGTCCATGGCCTCCAAGCTTCTCTTCGAGCTCTCGCTCGACCTTGCATCGTGCTCGACTACCGAATTGACCGACGAGCAAATCGAGGTTCGCCACTGGCTGACGTGGATTGCATCCGTGCAAGATCAATACTGTAAGTGAAGTCAAAAGTCAAATACCGATAACCCGAGCGAGTTTCCAACATCATCTGATTAGAGCTCACTCTGCTTTTTTTAGGGGCCATATTACTACAACGACCCTTGACCATCAAGACACATGTTCTGGGCATGTCTCGGTTGGCTGCCGCCTTTGCTCGCTCCGCCGCCGTAATCTCTGCTGAGCCGTCGTTTGAGGCCCAGGTGCACGAGTCGCTCCTTGACCTGATGGAACTGGCGCGCGAAGTCACCGACGCCCTTTACGAATCCGGACCCCCTCGGCCGACGTCGAATATGTATGCGACCATCGACCAGCTGGACCACCGAATCAAAAACTGGTTCTCCCGACTCCCCGAGAGGATCGCGAGGGGTCCGTTCAGCAGTGGTGGAGGCGACAAATATTACTTCCTTCTCGTGCTTCATCTCCACCTCAGCGTCACCCAGATCGTCCTGCACCGACATCGCGCATTCCCTCCGAACATGTATGACTCGCCCGACTCGTATCCTGCGTCGGATTTCGCCGACGAAGAGGCATCGGGCAGATCTAGGTCTCGGGAGACGGTAGCCTCTGCTGCCGTCCAAATAGCAAAGATCTTCGAGATGCTTCGTCACCGAGAGGACATCCGGCAGCTGCAGTCAACCGGCCTGCAGTGGGCTACGCTGGCCGCCCAGGCCCTGACGAATCACCTCCAGACGCTACCCGCCAACGAGCTCGTCGAAGGCGTAGCCCATCTGCAGAGCCTGAACCGTACCCTGAAGCAGATGACCACAACCTTCGCGCCGGCGCGGGAAGCCTACAGATCCACCAGCGAGAGCATAGAGCTCATGCTACAGAGATTGGAGACCGGGGATACGGCCAAGGACGAGAGTGACCCGGGTCCGGCGCTGCCGTGGGCGGACTTTAATTTCATGCAAGATCAGACTGGGGAGAGTCTCCACGACGCCTCGGAAGTCCCGGGTTGTTTTGCGAGTTTTCAGGACGAGTTGGGGGCAGCCATAACGCAGAACCCGTTGACGCAAGCATCCGAAGACGCATCGGTATATTCTTGAGTTTTTTGCCGGAAATTATTGTCTACTGAAGGCTTTGGGAAGGAGGTTGCACGCTCAATAATGCCTATGCCTACCAGGAGCTATAATTCTGTCCTGGAATTGCGGCAGATCACGCTTTCATCGGGTGTGTTCTTGCTCACTCTACATGCGAATCACGCTTTTTTGCTATTGACCGTTATATCTTGGAATCCCGAAGGACATCTTTCGCCGCTGTCAACGCAGCCCGTGCACCATTCCCGGCAAACATAACGTCCCCTCCAACAAGAAAGTAGGAATACCCCAAGCGTTGCAACCTGGGCATCACGTCAGGCTGTGCCACGAAGATCCCGACCTTCACGCCCAGCTGCTGCCCGAGCTGGGCTATCTTCCCCAGCGCCTGAAGATAGGCCGCCTCTTCACCATGAGGCCCAGACAGTCCAAGAGACAGACGAAGATCAACCGGTCCGACGAAGATGCCACTGATCCCCGGCGTGCTCATGATCCCCTCCGCATTCTCCACCCCGGCGGCGGACTCGATCATCAATATCACCGAGACGTCCTTCGCCGTCTCCGCCGCATAGCCCGTCAGCGTCCCGTCGCCGGCGAGGTTGGCGTAGGGCGCGTAAAAGGGGCCGAAGCTGCGCTGACCCGCCGGCGGGTAGCGCGCGTGGGAGACGACGGCCTCGGCCTGCTCGCGCGACTGGATCATGGGCACGACGATGCCGTTCGCGCCGCTGTCGAGCGCCCACTTGACGTACTCGACGCCGGACGACGGCGTGCGCACGAAGGTGACGGTCTTGTTGCGCGAGGCCACCGACACGGCGTGGACCAGGGCGGTGGCGTCGGCGGGGGACAGGGGGGAGTGTTCCATGTCGATGAGGACCCAGTCGAAGCCGGCGCCGCCGAGGGTGTAGGCGAGGAGCGTGCTCGAGAGCATGAGGTATGAGCCCAGGAGGGGGGCCGAGGGCGAGGCGGATGCGAAGGTCGCCATTCTGTGTATTTCTCTTGAGTTGTAGATGAAACACGACGTCTCTGGCAGGAGTTTTGGTGTTGCTGCTTTGGATATCGACAGGTCGTGGCCGAGTTCTTCGGTGGGTTCGAACCCTTGTGATGATTGTCAGATGGGCTGCCCATGAATTGCCTTTACGCTTCAGGGGGATTTCGTCCGAGCGCAACTGGTAGGCTGGGGGGGATGGCGGAGGGGGAGCGGTTGGTTAGGCTGAACACGTCCCTCCACGCTAGGATAATCGGTTTCCGGGCCTCCCCGCTACCCCGCGGTTCTTCTTCAGGAGACCCGGACGTGGCGTAGAACCGGGCTTTCCTGAGCTCCGGTAGCAAGACCCTGCATTTGGGGAAGTCCGGGTGGAAGTGGTCTAGACCAACACAAGCTTTAGTGCTGTAGCTTAGACTCCCAGGGACTCGGTTGAAGAGGTCACGAGAGATGAAGCGTCCTCCGGGAAGCAGCAAGGAAAGCAAGGTCAAACATCAAAGCATCGGATCGTGAGCCTCCTGGCCTTGGAGCGCTTGTGTTGCGGTATAAGTGGCAAGCAGTGCCAATTCGGGAACCGAAGAGTATTTTGCCAAGTAAAGTTGGCATCTCTCGCTGTTCGCTGTTCTCGAAAAGAAACACATCACTAACATGGCAAGCCCGCAAGGATCCAGCAAGATGCGCGATGAAGAGAAGGTCGTCACCTCGTATCATGAGCGCCCCGTAGGCCTGGATACGGAGACTGGAGAGCTCCCGTCGGGCTACTTCAAATCGGCATCGTTCATCGGAACGATGTTTGCGGCGCAATCTGCCTGGGCCGCAGTAAGTTGGAAGAAGAAAACGCCCTCCCCCTTTTCCCTCCCCCAGTTCGCAGTTCGACGACGAAGACGAAGAGAAGAAGCTCACAGGACTTGCCAGGGCGTCGGATCTTTTGCTCTGGCAGCACCTCTCCTCGGCACCATCAACCAGGAGATCGGACCGAACCCCCAAATCGCCTGGGTCGCCCTCGCCTACACTCTCCCGCTGGCCGTCTTCCAGACGCTGGTGGGGCGGCTATCCGACCTCTTCGGGCGGCGCTACTTCTTCATCTTCGGCACCCTGCTCAGCCTCGTGGGCTGCATCGTCTGCTCCACCGCGAAAGACGTGCCCTCCCTCATCGGCGGCACCGTGCTGCTCGGCGTGGCCGCGGCGGCGCAGCTGTCGGTGACCTACGTGGTGGGCGAGCTGGTGCCGATGAAACACCGCTTCCTCGCCAACGCCTTCGTGTTCGTCGGCGTGGTTCCCTTCGTGGGCATCGGGCCGGCGATTTCGTACGCCTTTGTGCTGCGGACATCGGCCGGCTGGCGCGGGTGCTACTACCTCATCGCGGCCGTGAACGCCTTCTCCCTCGTCTGCTGGGTGTTGTTTTACTTCCCGCCCACCTTCCGCATGCTGCATGGGACGACGTCGAAGCGGCATGTGGCGAAGCGGTTTGACTATGTCGGCTTGGTCCTGTTCCTCGGCGGCTTTCTCATCCTCCTCCTGGGCATCTCTTGGGGCGGCGTCGTCTATCCCTGGCATTCACCCAACGTCATCGCCACCATTGCCGTCGGCGGCGCGGCGATGGTCGCCTTTGGCTTGTGGGAAGCGTTTGCCAAGCTGGAGGCGCCCATGATCCCGATACACCTCTTTCAGAACGGGGCTTGGGTCGCGCTGGTTTTTCTGTGCGCCCTTTCGGCCTCGGTGTACTACGCCTTTAGCATTGTGTGGCCGCAGATGGTCTTCGGGCTGTACACGGATGATCTGTATTATGGAGGCTGGCTTGCCTGTCTTGTCGGGGCCGGGACAAATATTGGGCAGATGCTGTCGTCTTTGGGACGCCATATTGGCAAGCAGAAATGGCAGTTGGTGTTTTCCATGATTGTGTCCACGGCAACACTTGGTGGTGAGTTTCCCCGGGTGTCCTCCCCTGCCCCCCCGTCCCCCCAGCCCCTTATTTTCCCGCGAAAAACCAACTCGAACCTCTATAGCCGCGGCATGTGTTACGACGACAAACAAAAACGTCGTGGCCGGCCTCATGACAGTCGGCTGCTTCTTCACCGGCTATCTCGACAGCATCGGTCTCGCCATGGTCGGCATCTGCATCCAAGACCAGCGCGACATCGGCTCGGCCGTGGGCATCGCCGGGACGGTCCGTGGCGGCGTCGCCACCATTGCCACGGCCATCTACTCCAGCATCCTGGCGAACGAACTGGCGAAGAACATCCCTGCCATGGTCGGCCCGGCGGCGGTCGAGTCGGGACTGCCGGAATCGTCGGTTCCGGCCTTCCTCGCCGGGATGTCCGGGGCGGGCGACTTGACGGCGGTGCCCGGGGTGAATGAGGCCATCGTCGCGGCGGGGAGGGATGCGTTCAACTGGGCGACGGTCCACGCGTACCGGATGGTGTTTTACTCGACCATTGCGTTCAGCGTGGTCTCTATCGTTTTGGCGTTTTTGTCGCCGAATGTGGACAAGCTCATGACGGAAAAGGTTGCGGCCACTCTGCATGGAGGGAACTTGAAGGGCGTTAAGGGGGAGGGGGAGAAGGAATGATGTGATTTTCCTTTTCCTCCTTTTCCTGTCACATGCAGCGAATGCTAGCAAGGGTATAGGGTTGCATAAGTTGATGGATTCCGTTTATTGTTTTCTCTTTTATTTCCGTCCTCTTCATGTCGATTTATTACTCTCCTGAATCTCCGAGAAGCGCTTCCAGATTTCCTCCGACACCTCCGTCGAAGGCTTGCCATCTCTGATCATATACCGGCAGTATCCCAATGTGGTGACGGCCCTGACCACCTTCACCTTGTCGCCCGTCTGGCCCTTGTCGACGAAGTTGTCCTCATCCGGCTCGATGACCTGTCGGTAGTAGGGGTCGTGGTACGCGGCGAGGTAGCCTTCCCACGATTCGACATACCAGTCGGCGGCTGCGTTGAAGTCGAGGCCTGCTGCGAAGGCGGGGTCCATGCCGGCGGTTATGAGGGTGCGAAGCTCGGCGGGGGTTTGATACTGGATGGCTTTGTTTTAATGTAATGTTCATGTTGCTTTTCCTCGCGCCCCATTCTCCATATGCCGGCTGAGACGTTACCTGGGTGTATTCCAGGACACCATGCTTCAGAGCCCAGGGTATGACGAGCGGGCCGTGAACATTGCCCCAGTGGTCATAGAACTGTTGTTCCGTGAGGTCGGGACGTTTCCTGAAGAAGGTGGTGATGCGGTAGATGATGGTCTTTTGTTGCGATATTGTGCTGGCCAGCCGCGAGATGACAGTATGTCAATATCACGAAAGAAAGCAACGATGGCCGTAAATATGACGATGTGTGAGGGAGAGAGAGAGGGGCCTCACGCTTTCCCCTATGAACAACCCTGTCTTTTATACTCCTGCTCACATGAAGGGAAGATAACCGCGCGCGGTGTCCCACGGCCGGTTGTTGTTTTCCCGAGGGGAAAATGAACGAAGAGACCCATCTACGGGAGCACTACGGTCTACCTTACATGTAGTTCTTAGTTCTCCCTCCACTGCCCACAGTATCCATAGATAGGTATTAGGGGTGATAGTGGCCCTTTATTATTAGCTCAACTCCTTTCGCGACGCCCTAAGAATCAGCTACTCCAGCCCCTCCCGCCCCGCAGCTGGAACTTCATCTGGGTGCGAGCAGATGGTGATGATCACAGGTATTGGTCGAGATGACCAGATAATTAGGTAGTGCAGCACATGACATTTGTCAATTGTTTCAAGAATTCACTTTATTATGGATGTGTTATATGTGGTTGGGGCGGGAAAAAGGGGGTAAACCCCCAGAGCAGTCCCGACGCGCCGTCGCGCCGTCGCGCTTGAGGCTTTACTTGATCAGAGAATGGCAATAGAATTCGCTGGACTGCCAATGCTTCCTACAAGAGCACGTTTCCTTAAAATTAGTATTCAGAACGTAAGAAGTCAAGGTCAATGCCATGTGGTTCATTGCCGCATCACATACCTCGAACAACGGCCGGTGAGCTCGACAGGAGAAAGGTGTATCTCTTTTCCGTCCGGCAGACCTCGCTCAACTTTTCCAGGTCGAACAGTTCGCCAATGGGCATGCCCCATAGGGGGAGCATGAAGGCGTGGAGCGACTCGGCTACGGGCCACTGTTAGCTACCATTACCATTACCTTACTCACTTTGAACTCAGGGGGGCAACAACGCAGACTCACCCAGCGACTTGGGTGGCCACATCTCGAAGCAGATCTGGTCCGACACGGCGGCCGCAAAGTAGTGGTCGTGCAAGAAATCCACCATTTGGGGCGTGGCATCGATGCCGGCGTACGTGTGGTCGAAAGCGCCCGGAAGAGCCGCCAGCTTCTCCCGCTCGGCGGTATCCAGGGACATGTACTTCTTCACCCAACCCGCGCGGATGAAGAGGATGTCGCCCGTCTGGAAGGTGATGCCTTGGCTCTTGGCGCATGCCTCGAGGTCTGCCCTCGTGATCGGATGGGTGGTGAAAGGGTCGTACGACTCTCCCGACCAGGTGTACATGTCGAGAAGGACACCTCGGCCGACTGAAGGAAGAGAGAGTCAGAGTCAGCCAGAAAGTGGGCGGGTGTACGGTGCGTCAAAAGGGGGCCATAATCCGGATGCCTTACCGATACCGGTCTCGCCCCATGCGCCTGCGCCGCAGCGAGGAGATACGAGGTTCCCCTTCTTATCTACTTGGTCAATCTCTTCACTCGTAAGCTACAGGATGTTAGCAATTTTGCTCTCGTCCGGGCGGAGTGCGCGGCGCAGCGGCAGCGCAGGATCGCAGACAGTCCTACCCCGTTGTAGAAGAGCTTTGTCTCGGGATGTGCCATCTAGCACGAGTTAGCATCACCCCTATCAGGTTGGTGAAAACTCTCTCTTCATGTTGTCTTAACGGGGGCTCCATGTCCCTTACATGACGGAACCCGTCCCACTGGCTGCTCGACTGGGGGTTCAGCTCGAACACTTCATCGTAAATCCCAGGTGCCATCTTGATGACCTTGTGGTGGAATGTTTCCCGCTTGAAAAGCGCCGGGCCGGGAATGTCGTATGGCAAGCTATCCACGTTGTCCAGATCAGCACCAGCGTGCGGGTTTTAGGGTAGGGGGGGCAACGATCAGGAGAAAGCAAGAAAAGGCTGGGGTTCACCTCAAGTTGATTACCTGTCCCGTCTTGACGCATTCTCCGACTGTCTTTAGAAGTCTTTCCTGCGTCAACAGGTTCAGACGGCCATGTTGGTCTTCTGGGCCCCAGAACCACGCAGCGCCGGGGGGCGCACCAGGGATAAATGGCAGCTCGGAGCGTTTAGGCAACGCAGAAGCGTCGGCGTTGGGATCGAATCTCATATTTACATGCAAACGATTCCTGAGAGAGAGGGAGAGACGGTTATGTGGTTGATTATTCGATTATGCCGTTGGATTCAAGTTGTATTCATGATTTTTATTATCTCAGATCTGGGCTCCGTTGCCCCCTCTTCTGTCTTCTGCTTCTCGCTCGGATGCTCTAAGCGCACACGACTCACTCACGCCTTCCGGCACTGGTCTCGAGCCTTGCGACGGGCCGGTCAGGAGACGAGTTGTATCTCACAGCGCCACATATCCGGGCTTGCGCACAACACGTCCCTCAGGGCCTAGGAGCCGGCGAGCAGGCTATTCATTATCCGCCCCGGCACGGACAATGGAGACCGACATCTTGACACACAAAGGTCCCGCCATTATCATAGAAAGCCACACTGGTTTTTCTTTCTTTCTTTTCTTTCTTTTTGCGCCTGTGTAGTACAGCCAGTCCGGAACGCAAAGATGGCGGCGGACTTTGGCATTGGACGGCGCCTTTGTTTGCATGGCAGACGCTTCATTGTTGTCAGGCGACGAATTACCCATGAAGCCCACTCCAGCATCCACGAGGACGGGATTCGGAATGTGTATATCCTAGATCGTGCGTCCTTTGTCTTGGACTACCCCGATTCTGGGGCAACATGCAGGTCGAGAGTATATTATGCCATTACTTCGATGGCTATGGAGGTCATCTCGACGGATTGAGAGGGCTGGGATGAATCCAATGACACCGATTTCCAAACTCCCACGCACCTAGATCGTGCATTCATTCAACTATCATAGCCCATCTTTACCGCCCAAGCCGTCATGTCGCAACTTGAATTAATCCCCCAGCACGATACCTTCGTGGCCGAGTGCCGCGGTGTGAATTGGAGCAAGCCAATCTCCAAGGAAGTCAAGGACCAAGTCCAGAAGGCCATGGACAAGGTTAGCCCGTCTCGATACGCCTGAACACATGCACTGGGCTCTCTTCATATTTGGAAGACTGACCACTGACGGAGAATGATAGTATGGCGTCTTGATCTTCCGCAACACTGGACTCGATGACAAGCGTCATATCGCCTTTGCTGCTCTCTTCGGAGAGCTCGACGACATGTCGCCGCATCTGAAGGTGGGCCGTAAGCTCCGTCTTCCTGATGTGGAGATGTTTGATGTTAGCAACATCGACCCGGACGACAACCTGATCACCACCAGCGATCCAGCACGAATTGCCATGATGAAGGTGAGTCCAGCCGCGCTCCTCGGCTCCTCGTTCCCAGTACCGTTTTTCTTTTTCTTTTTCTTTTTTCCTTCTTCTTTCGTTTCTTTCTTTCCTCTCTCTTGCCTCGAAAGCGCTTTGACTAACGAGGCTCAACTGGGACCAAAGGGCAACGCGCTGTGGCACTCCGATTTGGCGTTCAACTCGAGACGGTCGGGCTATTCCATTCTCCGAGGCCATCAGCTGCCTCCCAAGGGCACCGGCGGCGATACAGAGGTGAGCGAACAAATCGGACCGTCCGTGACCTGTGCTTGAGAAAAAGAAAAAGAAAAAAAAAAGAAAAAAGAAAAAAACTGACACGCCAAACCACAACACGTTCCCAGTTCCTGGATGCTCGACAGGCATACGACGACCTCCCCCAAGAAATGAAACAGAAAATCGATGGCCTCGTGGGCAACAACTCCATGTGGCACAACCGCAAGCTCGCGGCGCCCGACTACTACAAGGACCTCGAGCCGCTGGACTACCCCATGTCCAAGCACAAGATGGTGACCAACCACCCGGCCACGGGCCGCAAGATGCTCTTCACCCCGACCTACGTGCACCACATCGACGGCATGTCGTTCGAGGACTCGCAGGCGCTCGTCAAACAGCTCCTCGACCACGCGTCCCAGCCCAAGTACATCTGCCGCGTCGAGTGGCTGCAGGACGGCGACATGATCATGTGGGATAACACGGCCGTCATGCACCGCGCCGTCTACGACGGGAGCTACTTTGGCAAGTACCGCCGGGACATGAGGCGGACCACCAGCTTCGACATGGGACCCGAGGCGCATGGCTTGAACGACCCCAACAAGACTGTGAGGCAGGGGCTGAACCCGGTCTTGACGGATAAGATTGTTGAACCGGAGGTCAAGGTTCCGGCCATTAAGGCCTGAGGGTCGTGGTGTAGTTTGAGAGGACGATAGTTTACTTCAGCATAGCATACCGTATTTCTTTTGCGATAATCATCCATTCCGGGCCGATTCGTTCCAGATGTGATGCATTGGGCCGCATCACGACTGATGTAAGGAGCAGACAGTGAGAAGAAGTCTGGAGTTCATCTTTCCTGGGTACTTATTTCCTTACCCCCATGTTGATTAGGTAGTAAATATACTTAAGTCACGTGTAGATAAGATAATAAATTCTTAGCTTACGTTATGCTTCTGAAGCATCCCCAACTTTCCAAGCTTTCAAAGTCCATCCACACCTACCTCACCAACTCACCAACTTATTCAACATCATCGTGGCTGAATAGCCAGCTGGCTTTCTTTCTCACCGACCATGTCTGAATATCCAAAGTTCGATCCATCCCGCTTGACCAAATCTTTTGCAGCAGCGCAGTATTCCTCCGAATCGGAGGAAGAAGAAGACGACGACTTCACCATCCCCCAAGTAGACCCTTCCGCCGGCGATGACTTTAGAGACTCGAATCCCCGTAAACGTCGACGCGTCGGGAACGCCAAGGAGCGCGCCGCATTAGGAATATTCGCCTCCGATAGCGAAGATGACGGGCCCGGGAGGCGTTGGAAATCCAGGACTCTCCGCGGCAAGGGCATGAACTTTGTTTCCACCGGTTCCGCATCCAACGGCCAACCGGAAGAGGAGGCGAAGGAGTACTCAGACGAGGAGGGCGATGCAAATATCAATGCCGTCGACGGAGAAAGCGAATCAGACGAGGAGGACGAAGAAGACGAAGAAGAAGACCGGGGCGTAGGACTCGGTTTTCGGAGCACGCATGCTGCGCGTGCGGGCCAGGCCTTTGTAGCGGCGCAGAACAACGACAACAACAACACAGGTGGCGGCACTTCAGAATCCCAAACTACCCGACAACGGCCCTCGTTTCCGAAAACCAAGTTCGATGGCAAGAGCGCCCTCGGTCGAGGGTTCGTCCCTTCGTCAGCATACCAACCCGTCTTGAAAGAATCGGTCGACGACGACGATGCCTCCCCGAACCCCCAAGTCGCGCGGCCCAGCGCCTTCGCCCCCGCCAAGGGCAACAAGACAAAAATAAACCCCCAATCCTTTGGCGCTCGCATGATGGCCAAGATGGGCTACGTCGAAGGACGGGGCCTGGGCAAGGAAGGGCAGGGCCGCAACGTCATCATCGAAGCGCACCTACGTCCTCAGGGTGTCGGTCTCGGTGCCGTGCGAGAAAAGTCCGAGGCCGAGAAGAAAGAAGAGAAAAGGCAAGCGAGACTACGGGGCGAGACGGTCATCGACTCGGACGAGGAAGAGAAGCAGAGGAAGCGAGAGAGGAAGAAGAAAGCGGCCTCCGGTAGCGGGGCTACCAGCGGTACCGGCACTCCGTCGGCGCGGCACAAGACCACTTTCATGACGGCAGAGGAGCTCAGAAAGACGGCTCCCGGCCTACAAATTCCAGAGGCGTTCGCGCCCATCCTGGACATGACGGGGCCGGGCAACAAGCTCCTCACGTCTACGTCGGGCCTGCTGACTCCCACGTCGGGAGCCGTTCCCGAATCATCCGAGGTGGCGGAAGCACGGAAGCTCGCCAGGCGAGCACATGCCGACTTGGCGGCGTTTTCGGAAGAGTGGAGGAACCTGGAGGACAGGAAGAGCTGGATCGATCACGAGCTCCGCGAGCGCGAAAAGGAGGAGGCGGATCTGACGTCGGCGTTTGGCCAGCTCCAGCTCTTCGCCAACGTCGTCACCAACGAGCTGCCCCATGCTATCGAATGGTCCGACGTGATGCGCTGCCTCCAGCAGGCGCTCGAACATATTGTGTCGCCTAGCGCTGAGGTGGCGGACATTGCGGTGGCGGACATTGTGGTGGCGGCCATACATCCGTTTTTCCGCGATCCCGACTGGACCTTGCTAGAGGAGCCGGCGCGGTTCGCCACCGAGCTGAAGGACCTCCGCAGTCTTCTGATGAAGCCGGGCGAGGGCGATCACAATACCAATAATAACAACGGCGGCGCCGTCGGCAAGTGGGATCCCAGCACAAGCGGAGGGCTGAACAGCACGGACATCTACCGCCGCCATCACAAGGCGACCACGGCGTACGAAACGATGATGTACAAGCTCTGGTTCCCCAAGGCCATGACGGCGATCCGCGCGTGGGACGTGTTCGACCCGGGGGCGCTCCTGGCGGTGCTCGAGGCGTGGGACGACCTGCTGCCGGGGTTTGTGCGGGCGCAGTTCGTCGACGGCGTGGTGCGCAAGCTCGAGGCGGCGGTGGGCGAGTGGAACCCGCGCAAGAGCAAGACGAAGAACAACGACAACAACAAGCGGCACCAGCAGGGCCAGAGCCAGGGCCAGGGCCAGAGCCAGAGGCGGTTGCCGCACCTGTGGCTGTTCCCCTGGCTGCCCTACCTCCCGGCGTACCACCTCGAGCCCAAGGGCACGGGGCTCGTGGCGGACGTGCGGCGCAAGTTCGGGCAGCTCATCGACGTGTGGGAGTTTGAGCGCGGGGTGGTGCCCGGGTTGGAGCAGTGGCGCGACGTGCTGGGGACGCAGTGGCGGCCGCTCGTCATGGGACACGTGTTGCCTGGGATGGGCCGGTATCTGAAGGAGCATTTCCGGATCGACCCGAGCGACCAGGAGCCGTATCTACCCATCCTGACGGGGGCTCTGAAGTGGACGGGCGTGCTGGGGTCCAAGGTGCTGGCTGAGGTGATGGTGGCCGAGGTGTTCCCGCTGTGGCATGACAAGCTGAGCGAGTGGCTTGGACTGGAGGAGATGAACCTGGAGGAGGTATATGCGTGGTACGAGTGGTGGAGGGATCAGGTGTTCCCGAAGGAGGTTTCTGGGGCGACTTCGGTGAAGAGGGAGTTTGAGAAGGGGTCGATGACTATTGCGGCGGCGTTGGAGAATATGTGATAAGATGTTCTGTAGATGGGACTACTAGTCTCTACCTTGGTCTCGACAATAGAGATGACCCGATTGACAGATATAGTCTTTACGTCCCTCCTGCACGCTGCCCGCATCATTGCACCAGACGGCGCCGGTATCAGGAATCCGACTTGGAGGCCCCGGGTCCCTCACCGCCGACCGCCGGCTGAACGGGGCCGGGCCAGCATCGGGTCGGTTCGTAAGCGTATTACCTAATAAACGGTTTAAAATAGGGGGTTCTGATTAGTCATAGACGGAGTTGCCCTACTGTGTACCAGGGTACGTACCCGGTCTCTCGTCTCTTTTCTCTCTTCTCTCTTCACCGATGCTCTCACTCGCCTTTCCATCATTTATATTTTTATTCAAACCTCCAGAGTGTCTGGCCCGCCCGCGTGCGACGATAAACAATTTAAAATGCACCATCTACTACTCCCACGCCCACCGGCAGAAACGGAAGCCCGACGATGCAGCTTAATGAACGCCCCCGGGCGCGCGCCACGATACCGGAGAACGCACCCTCTGCGATGGAGGCGTACGAGAACGGCAGCGCGACGCGGCGAATGTCGACATTCATCAACAACAACATGCGCGCCGTTCGTCGCCTAATCGGCATACCGACCACGGCTCTAGGCGAAGGGCTAAGTTTCGAGCATCATGCGAGCGGGCAACGGACGAGGTGACGACCGTCTCCAGGCCCCTCCTCTCTCAGGGGAGACGACCCCCGACGCCGCCTTCGAGTCGGGGGTCTAGTCGATCGCCACGCGCGGCACAGGGAGATAAACTCGAGGACGTCAGGCCGCCGCACGCAATCGGTAGCGGAGGAACTCATGTCTTCCATGAAGCTGAACCGCAGGGCGAAGGCCATGTCAGACGGATCGTCAGCGCTGGGGCACCGGACACCTCCGTCCCCGGGAGAAGAAGAAGAAGCGGTGTTTCCACGTTTTGCCATGCGGTCCAAAACCAACACTGCGTCTTCTACGGGCAGTAACAACAACAGTACGGACTCGACAGCGGCTATCCGGGCCACGGCGAATGGGATAAATTTGCGATCGCGGGGGTCGGGATCTAGAGGAACGCCGTCGTCGCCGGCTTTGTCGCTGGATGCGAGTTTGAAACGGGCGACGAGCATGAGGGGCCGGACGATGGGACAACAACAACAACAACAACAGCAGCAGCATCATTTACAGGGCTCCCGGACCCGAGCGTCTAGCTCGACGAGCACATTGAGGTTGTTCAGGCTTAGGGAGCTTGTGGAGGGTCAGGGGCATGGGCTCGGCCTTCAGGGGGGGGAGTGACGGGATTCGAGGAAGGATCCCGCCGACGTTTTAAAGCACGGGGAATATTCTATGGACTGGACTCGGCGTTCTTTTGTACATGCACATAGATGGTTGTCAAGCGAGTATCACCATCACCATCACCACCCCCCTTTGGTGGAACGAATGAAATTTTTTCTACTTTTCACAACTTGACTCTCTTTCTGCCTTTGCCGCATGTCTTCCTTTATTCTGGACACAATAAATCTACAGTTCGTATCCTATAGATCATGAACGAGTGCGGCAACCTACCTCTAAACCCCGAGTCGAGTGAGCTGTTTCGGTGAAGAGGACGCAGTGTTTGGTCTTCACCTTGAGGTTTGTAAGCAGTTATATAAGCAAGGTTCAAGATGCAGCCATCTCACCTCACTCACCTACCTCACTCACCTTACTCCTGTCCCCCCCAACTCAACAAACATCAAACATCCCCCCAACTTCACGTCCAACTTTACCAACTTCGCCCGTTTCATCCCCAACGTTCATCTCTTCTCTCTATGAAAGATTCTGGCAACAGTCACACTTCCGCACTTTCCCAATGCCGAAAATATCTGATTTGTTGCCGCCATGCTCTCTCGTATAACTTCTGCAGTACTTCTAGTCCTCTATGTCGTCCTCTATCTGCCTGTAAGTCAATCAAGACAGGACGTCCGATTTTCCACTTGGGATTCATTCACCGTCTACGTGACAATAAAGCCTTTCATGTTTTTACCTAGACTCTGATCACCCCCCATCAAAAAGCCCATGCGCAACGCCTTGGCCCCAGATGGAGACCGGCCCTTCTCCCCCCTGTTTGGTTGTAACCCTACGGGGGACCAAAGTCCTTCCCGCCCAGTGGCAGGCAGAGGATTCAAGGATGCGAACGGGCACTACACTACTCATGGGGGAATCCTCCCGTCTAAATTTGGCAATGCATGCTCCTTAAGCAAGCTGTATCGGCTCGGCTGACCTTACAAAAACAACCAAAAAGTTCATCTACTGGCGACGACGGCCTTGCGGAGTAAAGACGTGATCAGCCTTCACCTCCTCGCCATAACCCCGTAACTTGAATCACGACATCTCACCTTTTCGACGGCAGCCGGCCCCCGACTCGCAAATCAGGAACACCCAGGTCGGTGCCGGCGCGTGCTCATCTTCCACTTTGCGTTAAAAAAAAAAAAAAAAAAAAGGACGGCATCTCCACAGATAGACACGACTGCCGGATCATGGTGGCAGTCAATCAAGATGACCCTGCCATCGCAACCACGGCCGACGTAGACGCGCATCATGACATACCCCAGCAACGGCAAATGCAACCCTCGCTCCTCGCGCGCCTCTACTATGCCACCAAGTTGTCGGCCCTCCAGCTCGCCTACCGCCAGGGCACCTGGCTCCAGAGCTGCAAGAGCTATTTAAGCCCGCGCGATACGCATCCCGACCTCGTCAAGACGTACGAGTGTCGCCCTCATCTGCCCGTCCGGTACATATATCCATACCCCTATAACGTACGACCACAAGATAAAGGAACCAGCTGACAGTCAGAGTCATCACCTCGCCAATACAACAGCATCTTTTTCGCACCGGGTTATGACGGCCGTCAACCCTCCGATCCCCTGCCGGTCCTCTTCACCATACATGGTGGTGGATTCGCCGTCGGCGAACCTGCAGACGACGACGCCTGGAACCACACCTTCGCGAACCGTAACGGCGTCCTCGTAGTCGGCCTCAATTATTCCAAGGCGCCCACGCACCCTTTCCCGACCGGCCTGCACGACGTCCACGCCCTGTTCCGCGCCGTCCTCGCAGATGCCGACCTCCCCATCGACAAGACCCGGACGGCAGTAGCGGGTTTCAGCGCCGGCGGGAACTTGGCACTCGGCCTCTCGCAGCTCGACGCTGCGGCGCGGCGGAAGGAGGGGGAACAGGACCCGTCGTCATCCTCGTGGCCTGGGCTACTACGCGCAGCGATACCCATCTACGCACCACTCGACCTCTCGATCCCCACGGCAGGGAAAGCGGCGCGCCGACGGTGGAAGCAGGACGTGGCGCAGCTGCGTGGAGGGATACGCGGCGCCGGTGTCGACCCCCTGCTCCTCATAGCCGACGCGTTCAACTGGGGGTACGTTCCCTATGGCACGGACCTGCGCGACCCGCTCGTCAGCCCGTTCTTCGCCGCGCGCGAGACGCTCCCTCAGCACGTGTGCGTCGTCGCGGCCGAGCTGGACTTTCTTGCGTGGGAGTCGTGGGCGTTTGCGAGCCGCCTGGCTGGGCGGCAGGTCGGTCCCGGGACCGTGGGTCGGGGAGAGTGCGGCGCACCGTCGGAGCTGGAGCTTGGGGACGAGCGGTTCGCCTGGACAGTGGAGGAGCGGAGTGCGGGAGAAGAAGAAGACGGTACGAGTAAGAAGAGCACGGGCGTAGGGTCGGTACGATGGTTGCTGGTGCCGGATGTGGTGCATAGCTTCGACTTGCACGACATGTCTACCGCGGTGTCGGACGGCGAGACGGTAAGGGATGGGAATGCCAAGGCCGTCAAGATGATTGACGAGCTGGGAACATGGTTGGGTCGGACGGTGTGGGGGCACGCCGACCGGTGACCGGTCTCCAGGGTCGTCACATCCGAAACCCCTGAGATTGGTTGCTTTTTCGATTTATCGTGGGTATTCGTAGTTGGCATGTCCATCTGATGAGCAGAAGTCCCCAAAATGGGCTGATAAAGCAGGGACAGGGGTTGGTTCATCCATTAATAACAGACCGGCATATGTAAGAGCCACTGATTAGAATAAAACCCACGAAGCCGAGGCCACTCTTTGGGTTTTGGCCGAAACCAGCCACGGGAGGTTGTAGACAGGAAGAGGCTAAAAAATAAAAAATAAAAATAGAAAAAACCCTTAACACATTGCGAAATACCAAACTCTCGACAAGTAGCAAGGCGAAGGGGCCGAATGTGTGAAAGGAACCCTCACCTGAGGTACACTGGCAAGCCGTCATCGTCATCGGGTCAATGGTCAATGATCGCTGCCGACCTCCATGTTGTCACGGAGGAGACAAGGGGAGACACACACCGCAGGAGGAGCACGTGCCGCCCCACTGCTTCATCTTTGGTTCCCGGCATTCGTTGAATTGAACGCAGTTTCGTCTTGGAAGAAGAGGTCGTAATAGAATTCCCGTGGGTCTCTCGAGATACTGCGGAGCACTGCGGTTCGCTTTTACAAAGCGACGATGGATTTTCTCCTTCCGCAAGAGCGGCTGTTGATTCCTTGTTCAAGATCCCATATCCCGCATGTCAGGGGGGGCCTGTTCTCTCCTTATGCTCGGCATTACATAGCTGGTGTCCGGACATCTCGCGATTCTGTTATGATGTGCGGTTTCATCTGGGGAATCACATAGTTCGACACATGTCCACAGAACAAGCGCGCAAAGGGTTGCAGAAGCGGTCGTCATCGCCAACATGGTCCGCCGTGCGGGCGGGTGTAGTTTGGGTTGCGCGGCATGGTCTTTCTCGATGCCACGTGCATCGCCGAGCTTGGGGAGATCGGGTCAGCCATGCGGGCCATGTCGAACCGAGTTGAACCCGGTTTATGTTGTGCCATGCTGTTGCATTGGAACAAGCGAACGAGGTAATCTTTGCGCTTTGTGCGTCCTTTCCAGGGGCTACCTGCACTATTGGGGCTACGTGCATGTATCTGGAGGGCTTGGGGTGCATTTTAACACCGATGGATGATCCTTCGGGATGGGGGTTTGGTTGGTTATATATCCTATCGTATTGGGGGGTGGTCTGCCGCTAGGTCGTAGTCTGGTGGAGGAGTGGAATCAAAGACTCCTGGAACGCAGAACCCTCGGGATTCTTTTGGGGCGAAGGGTCTGAAGCGTATTTTTGTAACTGGGCATTGAACACACCTGAACACACCTGAGCATGGAGCATTGTAGACTACCTTAACCATCGAAGAATGACGGATGTGCTGGTGTTAAACTGGATGGATGTCCGGATGATATATCTGTAAGAGAGACAAATAGGGGCAGTGGGGGCTTCGTGGGCGTGACTGATCGATGCTGTTGGGAGGGCGATAGTAGTAATTGTGTTGCGATTCTGGATGCAGAGAAGCTTGACGTTGGACGGGAGGGGAGGCCTTGAGGGAAAAAAAAAAGAAAAAAGAAGTCATGTCCATATGTCCTGCGCACTTAATTACTTCGTGTAACCTATAATTATACGCGGGATGGAAGGAACCGAGCCACACTGTGTGTTGAGGGATCATTAGTGGGGGACATTTTGTGGTTGGTACTTACATACACAGTATGAACACCTATAGATACTGTAGTCCTCCCTTCGTCTGGTGAAACGAAATTTTACTTCCAACCCGTCAGGTAGGAAGGTACGGAGTACTGCGCCTGCCTGGTCTGGTCTGGTAAGGTAAGGTAGGTAACTTAGGTACCTTGGGGAAAGTCTTCATTTCCCGGATCTTTTGTTCTCCTCCCTTTCCCTGACTGATTTCTTCTTCCTCCCCTTTCCTCCCTTTTCTCTGCCCTTGTACTGACGGATGTCCGGAACTCTGCGAATGCTCAACTCCTCCTCCCCACCGTTCGAATTTATCCATTTGACTGACCGGACCTCGATCCGTACGTTGTACGGCAGTTACCGCGCAAGATATAAGCTGCACCACTATATCCTGCGCCTGGATGCGTCTTCAAACCCCCCAATCCGAAGCCCGTCCGACCATCCATCGCGCTTCCACCAGATCCTTCAGAGCCTCTGAGCCAACCATTTCTGCTGACCGTTTTACGCCTCCTCTCTTCCGGGCGCCTCTCAGCCTACCTACCTCCCTAACCGGTACCCGCCAACCTGGAAGTTATCTTGTACTCCGTACAAATTATGACGACAGCCATGTGAGTATGAGCACCGTATTCGTCTGTTCGTCCCGGTCCCGAGCGGAGTAACTAATTACCTCGCCAACCCACCCCCAGATCAGGGACGCGCAGGCCACTGGGGCAGTGCGGCGGTGTCGGTGTGGTGTGGGGGGAGTGTAGGGCTGGTCGTTCCCCCATTTCCCCGTCACGACTCTGTCAGGTCACTGAGTACCTAGGTAAGGTAGGTAACTTCTTCCTTGCTCCAGGTACCCCTGGTATTGCATGGCTGTACCAAAGATACCTAAGGTACAGAACGATGAATCCCCTCATGTCTTGCAAGCCACCTTATGGATGCCAACTGACATGACACTCCAGCTCTCGAACCAGAGACGGGTACGGCAACGCACAGAAGGCACTATAACAACTCGTAAAAAAATAAAAAAAATTAGTAGACACACACCATAAGCAATAGAGTACACACCCGGGAACCATCGTACAGTGTCGTATAATTATATACTCTTATACCATATAAAAAGTCTATAACGATAGAATCGACTAATCAGCTATAAGGAAAAAGTTTTCACTACTATAACTATAACGCCACGGTTAGAGGTAATCTTATTTTTCCCTCTCCAGATAACTATAGGCTAGTAAGTTACCCCCCACCCACGGTTCCGCGCACTATAGATCCTTTAATTCTAGTATTAGGGCTCGACTCTACGGGTTTAGAAGGCTAAGATTTTAATTTTACGCGGGCGAAAAGTAAGTTTTAGTGGTTATACTATACTATATAGGGGAAAGTGTCGTAGCACGGTTCTAGATTAATACTAACGTGTATCGTGATAGGTTTACTATTAGAGTATATTAAAGAATAGTTATAAATAGCCCTATTTATATAAGAATAGAAGTAAGTATTCCCGTGGCACTATAAACGTATCCGAATAGTACTAATAGCCCTAACGTATTAATAGTCAGGAGCTGCCTCCGCTGCCGGATATATAGCTAAAGGGAATACTAGGTTCGCCGGAGTTAGACGCGTTTATCCTTGACCGTACGTTCCTGTACACGCTTCTATATAGCTAGCTACTAATGATTTAATATATAGTGTTATAAAAGAAGTGTGCTAGTACTGTCTTATAGTATGTTAGCGAGAATAATTCTATTATACGTGTTACTATATCGCTATACAATAATATACGCTAATATATATATAGATTTAATGTGGGATTAGTATACGCCGTAAGTACTAGAAGGGGGCCGCCGTTAAATTCCCCGATTTTAATATAACGTGCCCGTAAGCCCTTTCGGGCTTATTTACGTAGATATACGGCGATAAGCGATAAGGCAAGTATCGTTACGATAAATACGCGGCGAGAAAAGGCATGTTAACTTCATACGTAGTCCTAAAAGTCTTCGGTAAAAGGGGCTACGGTAATTATACGATTAGTGCGGGCTTATCTAGTTACTTTTTAGTTAGTAAGTTTATCTATAATGCTATACGATAACGTACTAATAGAACCAGATACGAACAAGAAGACGCCCTCGAATAAGCGTAAACGTGGCCCCGACGATACCCCCACCACTAAGACTAACACCGCCCTCACGATTAACCTAGAGGGTATCCCTAAACGCTATATTCGGCGCCTTAGAAAGGCGTTAATCGCGGCCGCGAAAGATAGTAAGTGATTATTAACGCTACACCCTAATATACGCCAGCGTACTAATATATATACTAGTGCCGTCGGATAAAGAGGAGCTTACTAAGGAGGAGTAGTAGGAGTTTTTTTTTTTTTTTGCTTTTTCGTATAGTAGCGGCCGGCTTTTCTTTACCGCTTTAATAATAATACCTTTTCTTCTTTTAATTTAAATTTTCATAATATAAAAACCGTAGATATATTATATATATAATATATATAAATATATATTAAAATAGAAATATATTATTTATATATATTATTTATATTTTATATTTATTTAATAAAGTATATAAAATATATAAGCCTAATTATTTAAAAGCTATATAACTCGTATATTTTAGAATATAAGGCTAGCTTTATAAGTAATAATATATTTTATATACTATTCTATCAATATATTAATTAGTAAACTAATTATACTTAATAGTAATAATTAGGCTTTACTTAGTTAGAATAACTAAAAAGTATCTATTACTAGTATAGCTATTATAGCAATTATAACTATAGCCTATAAAATTACTATCTATAATAAAGTCTAATTATTAAGCTATCTAATATATATAAGGACTATCTATAATACTAAGACTATAAAGAATAGGCTACGCTAATTACTCTTAAGATATATATATAGTTATATAAAAAATAGTATACTTTCCTATATACTATTTATAACTATTAAGGTAATAATATTAATTACTATTATATATAGATTATTATACTAAATAACTAATATCTTTACTTATAGATCATATACAAAGGCCCTATATTCTATAAGTATACTATCGTTATAATTAAAATAATACTATAATATATTAATAAGTAGAGTATTCTTTAGCTAAGATTTATAGTAAAAATAAGTCAATATAATAAAATTTAGACTATAAAGTCTTATATAGCAGTATACTATAAAGACTAAGTATCTTATATTTGATATAATATAAGTATAATATAATAAAACGAGTTAAAGTTAAGTGTTTTTAAATTAATTATATTATATAAAAGCCGTAAAGTAGCGTATAACGTAAAGGTAAAGAAGGTAAAGTTAATACCCGATAATCCTACTAATATTTACCTCCTATACCTAGTTTCGGCAGTTTAATTATTCTACCTTTACTAAGTAATTAAAAGGCACGCTTATATATATATTTATAAATTTATAATACTTTATTAGTATATTTAATTTATAAGAGCCTATTTAGGCTATACGGCCCTTTACGAGTAGCTATAGAGGAGAAAACCCGGTGTCCCGAGGAGAACCTTTATACTCGTCCTTATTTAAATAATATAATACTTATAATAAAGTCTTTACCACTTAAATTAAGGGTATAGGAGATTTATATAAATATAACTTAATATAATATATATATAAGATTTCTGCTTTATTAGGATTACTTTATACGTGCTATCTAAACGTGTAATGGATATAAGCCGGGTTTATAGTATAGTATATAAATAATACATAGTACTAGGCTATTCTATACTTTGACTATAAAAGTAATTGTATTTTTAAGCACTCTTAAATAACTGCTATTAACGTAATTAAAGTAATTAAGTTATTAATTAACCTACCGACCTATTAAGTAATCGATATATAAGTAAGAAAAGATATCCTATAATGTATCTAATACTAAGTAAAAGGTAACTATTACTACTTCTATTAACTAAAGGGATTAGGTAATATAGGAGCGCGCGATATATAGTAAATCTAGTACCTACTAGAATAACTATCTTAATCTAAAGATAAGTGATAAGAGGGCTAATACGTATCTATTTCTTAAGCCTATACTGCTTAATATTTATAAATATAAAGCCCTTATCGTTAACTTTAAGGCGGCTAAGGAGGCTACTTTATCTTCTACTATTATAATAAAAGGCGATAACGCTATTAATCCCTTAAACTAAAACCCTATTACGGTTATTACTATTACTACTATTACTGCGGCTATTATTATTATTATAGCCGCCGGTATAAAAGATATAACTTTTGATAATTAAGATAGAAATAGAATTAATATTAATAACTTAGATTATTACGAACGAAGAAGTATAGATTCCTTCGTAGTATATAACTTATATAAGGAAAAAGAAGAATAGATTCTGAGATTCGGGGTATTATATTTAACCTAAACGGAGGTAGTAAAGTCGTGGTCGTACGATATAGTCTATTACGTTATACTACGATATAATACTATACTTAATAGTAGACTATTAGATATTTAATATATAAGGTAGTCTTATATATAAAGCAAGGATATATCTAAGTATAAGATAAGTATAGCTATAGTATAGTAGAGCTCTGGTATTAAGCTAAAGGCTTATATATAATTATAAAATATACTTAGATATTATTTAATAATAATATTAATAATAACTACTCGTAAAAAGACTATAGCCGTAATAAAGGAACTACTAATTAAGATTCTTATATTTATTAGCGACCTCTCCGAATAGGGACGCACACGTAACCTATAAGATCGCCGCGTATATTATAAGGGAAACGATAACTACGACGTGTAGTAAAAAGAGCTTAATAAATTATACTTATTTATCTTAGTAATAATCTATAGTACGTTATATAATCTTCTTATATAGCTATAAGATAAAGACGTAGATAGCCTATAAGCGTGGGATATTCTTTTTTATAAGTAATAGGGACTAACCCCTATAAACCTTTATAAGAATACTCTAATGCTATATTAATAGTATACCTTATTTATAAAGGCGATACCTAAGAATATCAACACGTAGGTTATAAGCTAGAAAATAACGATAATATACTATAAATATATATACGTTTTAGGGCTAATAAGCGTAGACCGGTAGGTTAAAGATATATTAAGAGTTATTAGACCTATCGCCCCTAAATAGAGTAATAACTACCGAGTAAATAACTACGATAAGAGTACGGAAAATAAACTAATGATAAAGAACTTTATAAAGGCTTTAAGGGCTATTCTTAATAATATAAGACGCCTTTAATCTACTACTATAAAGTCTAGAGTTAGGAGAGGCACCTTTAATACTCTTAGACACCTCCCTAATATAGAGGATACTATTACTAATAATAAAGATATTAAGAAGCGCTTATATAGTGATACGTTTATAAATACTATCCCTCCCGCGATATATCCTTAAAGACTATCCCTCCTATAATAAGGAGGCCTTATAAGATCTATAAGAGCCCCTATACTACCCCTACCTATTACTTTATAAGGCTAGATATATACCCTTATAGCTAGCGTGATCGGGAAGATATTATAAAGATCGTAGAGAGCGAGATATAAAAAAGATTAGAGTCCGTTATAGCGAGTAAGGTAAAGAAGGTGTCTTAATAAGATTAGTTTTATAATACTATACCTATTATACCTATTACTCTAGCCGTAATAATAATAAAAGACGCACGTATTAGCTTTAGCCCTATAAGGGTATTAGACTTTAATACCTCCGCGAGGGGGCGGCTAGGATTCTATCCTACCGAAGACGTAGTATACCCTTTTAGGAATATATAATTAAGATTATAATAAGGAGTATTCCTTTCTATTAACTAAGCTAATTTAACCTTAAGCGATATATTATATAGACCGATTTAGAGATAGTTTAGTAACTAGAAGTTATTACTTTCCTCGTTACTTAGGAGGTAAGAGGCTAGCTATCTATATTATATTTAGAGGATTTAAATAGCGTTATAGAATAGATTAAAGGTATTATTAAGAGAAGAGCGAGGGCTATAAGGATCAAAGCTAATCTACCTATATTTATTTAGTCTAAAATCTTTAAAACTACTTTTTATTTATATAATAAAACCCTATACTATTTAAATAAGTAGAAAACGTCGTATAAAGGCCTACACAGCTATTAGCCTTATCTTATATATATATATATACGGCTATAGATTCTTTATAAAAGTATATAATATCTAAGCTTAAAGAAACCGCCTATAAAGACTAGAACCAAAGGCGTAAATTAGCTATTATATTAGATACTATTCCTTAAATAGATTCTGTATATAGCTACTATACCTAATATATATATTATTACTATGAAAGCCGTTATCTTTTATAAAGATACGACTTTTAATAGTAGAATTAAGATACTATAAGCCTTAGTATCGGTAAATAAAGTAGTAAACGTCTATAATCTATCTATAGTACTTAATCTGATAGTACAATAGCTTATATATAGCGTATCTTATAAGGTATAGCCGTAAGTAAATTAATCTTAAGTCGGAAGACTATAACGGCACTGCTATTATTACGGAAAAGGCTATTACTATTACTATAGACGATACTATTACTATTATTATAAATCGCGTTACCGCTATTATTACGGGTAAAAGCGAGGTATTATTATTATTATAGAAAAGGCTATCTATTAGGTAAGTAGTTATAAGGAGTAAACAGGTAATAGCGAGAGAGTTAGAGAGTAAATAGACGTAGATTAAGTAATAGTTATAGCTAGTCCGAATATAGGTGGTCTTAAAGAATTAGAATAATCGCTGCCCTTTTTAAACTAAGGAGGGGGTACTATATAAGCCTTATATACTCTTAGGCTAATACTAGTATAGTTAAATAGATATCGTAAATAGATATCTACGTTTAAGCCTAGGCTATAGCTCTACACGGTATTACTAGCCTAGAGTAGCTATAGCTATATTAATATAAGAGCCACGATAACTTAGCTATCTGCCCCGGTCTATACGATCCGACCGAGGAAAGGAAATAACTCTTACGGCCGGTATTTACTAGTATCTCTTATAAGGTTCCCGTACGAAGAAGAACGCTCTTAGGCAGGAGGTTCCGATTAAGTTTAAAGACTGCTAGGTATTTAGTAAGAGTATTTATAATTAGCGGATTAAATCTTAGTAGAATAGACTCTACTAATCTCGGTCCGCGTTTTAGCGGGTATATACACCTTTATTTCTTTCTATATATTAGTATACTAACCTAACTATAGGAGTTTTTTATCTACTTTACCGAATATAACCTTTTTAATAGACGCTCGCTGATTAATAGGATTACGCTACTCTATATATATATACCTCTCCTTCGTATAGACTTGGCCTATTTTATATAAGTGTATAACGCCTATAAAATTCGCGTATAAAAGTCTAGACCTTATATTATAGCCGGTAAGCCTTAGGTTCTATATAACCAGACTTCTCCGGACTACTAAATTCGGGTCGACGATACACGGCTTCGTATAGTGGAAAATATTCTTATAAAGGATCTTATAAAGCTAGAAGTATACCTTCTAGAAGAGGTTATATAAATTTACTTAGAGGTTAAAAAGTCGGCTAGTGATTTATTACTAATTCTTCTTATATAGGGCCGCGAATATCCCGGTTTACTATTATATAAGTATATACGGAAGAGGTTAACCTTATACGATTATAAGAAAACCTAACTATCACTATCGCTACTCCTTACTCCTTACGGAGGAATTACGTTAATTAAGAACTTCTTCAAGTAAGAGGGTGTAGTAGTTAACGAAGCACTTTTAGGCACGGATAATAATATTTTAGAAGTAAAAACTAGAAATAGCGAGTATAGCGAGTAATATCTACCTAATACTATTTACTCTTCCTTTTTATTCTCCTCTCCGTCGACTTTAGAGATTATACGCTTCCGTTTAGCCCCGGCCGAAGCTATACGGTCGCGAAGGTCTATACTTAGTAAAGATATAACCACTTTTCGACTAGCGCGGGTTCTCTTTTCCCCGTCTAGCTCTTCCTCCACCTTTACCTTTTACTTAACCTTTATATCCTTAAAGTCCTCCGTCTTTACCTCTAGCGTAATAGCTATAGTTACTATACTATCCTTTTTTTTCTTATTTTAGGTTATCCGGGGTACGAGAAGAATTTCCTTTTTCGTTATAATTAGCACGGCCTTATCTAGATCGGTATTAGTCTACGCGGCTAGTTTTTATCCCGGGCGTTTCCGTGAAATATTAGTATTAATTTTTTTAGCCGGGAGCTACGTTATACGAAGGAAGTTAAGATAATAATCTTTTAGAACTCCTAGTCTAGACTTATATAGAAGCGCGCGGAGGCTAATAGTGTTATACGTCTTATCGCGGTAGCGCGGAATCTTTTTCGGGTTACGGTTATTAGGGGGAAACAGCGTAAGGTCTTTTTTGAACTAGACCGACTACGTATTAAACTAGGCGATAATATATCGAACTAGATACTAATAGCTAGAGTACGGGAGGTCGAGTAAAATAGCGACTCGGCTAATAACCTTCTAGTTAGTAATAGTCTTAATCTCCTAAAAGGGCACGCTTCTGATAATCTTTTCCGTGTATTTATAACTAAATAGTATAATACTAATATCCCTTATAGGGGCCGGCTACTTCTTTCTTTTCGTCTGCGTAATACTGACTTTACGCTTAGCCTCGCCGTCTCTAAGCGTATAGATTAGCGCGCGAGCTTCTATACCCGGAATTTAAAGTGCACTTATATACGAGACGTCCTGGCCCCGCTCTTTACGGGGAGGCGTTCTATCCGTTAGATTAATAACGGACTTATCCGACTACGTAGACGTATCTTCGCGTTTAACGCGTATAATACTAGGCTTAGGTGCTTAATAGGCGGGATAGCTTATTAGCTATTAATTCTTAGAGAATATAACCGTATAATCGATTATTAAGATAGGATATATTAAGTCTCCGCCAGACGCTATTATATCGGATTATATAGCGTAGTATAGAATTTCGTATATATCGTATGTAATTAGGAAGGAATAATAATAATAGTACGCTATAGTGTGGGATTTTATTTAAGCGTACGCTCTAAGTCTTTTTTTATACGCCGTGTCCACTTAAGTAATAGTATATAAACCCTTACGTATATATTTAATTATCATCATATATTTAATTATGAGGAATTACTATCCCTACGATTAGCGTGTACGTAGAACCCTCTGATTACTATTTTTAGAAGTTGTTACAGTGCCTTCTGTGCGTTGCCGTAACGGGCAATCTCTTTCGCTTTCGCGTGGTGCCTGAATGAATTAATGAATTACATACATACTTACACCGGCCTCCTGGCGACGGCTACGCTACTCTTCCTCCTCCCACACTACTCCCACACTAGCCCCCCATCTCCTTGCCGCGACCTACATCCCGACCCCATCCCGGAGGTTTCCACGGGGGGTAGGCAGGTATAGGGGCTATCTCATCATCTTGAGCCTTTTCTTCTCGACCCCCACTAATCTCGTCCCAAACGGTAGAAGAAGCTCCCTGACCGTTGGCAACGTGTGACCTACCTATGGCCTGAAGATGTTACCGACCATCTTTTAGCACCAGAGATGGGTATTCGCACGAAGCACTATCAAAGCGATCAAACCACCGGCCTTTTACATATCGAGTACACCTACCTACGAAGTACGAGGTACGAATACGCGAATCTTGTGCATAATCTTCCTGTTACAGAAGTGAGGTGGAAAGGCGACAGCTGCCGCGATCCACCCCTCCCTCCTTTCAGCCTACAAAGTACGAAAGTACCTAGGTACGCATTTCTCCAGATACAGTACGTACACCTTCCTCCAAGCCCGGGCCATCTTGCAGCTCACCAGTCTTCTCCGGGAGCACACCCCTGTCCCTACGAACGCAACCCACGCACAACACACTGACTGCCCTGCTGCACTACTTTCGTACACACTCTAACCTCTCTTCTCGTCTTTTCGTCCTCCTTCCTCTTCTGCTCGTCTCTTCCCTCTATTCGCCTCGGTTCTCCCACCTCACTCTCTTTCTACCCTCCTGATCCATTCCTTCCGTCGCCCTCTCACCTCCACTCACGCCGTGTCTCCTCGAAGAGGATACTCTGTCCTGATTTTTTCTTCTTCTTTTTTTTCGTCCTCTGTCCCATCATTACGAAGTGAGACGCGCCCACCTCGCACAAACTGATGACCGAGTACCCACCGATGATAGCGCAGAAGGAGACACTGACGATAATACGAGTATAGCCTTGACGACCACCCATCCACGTACACGCGAACGGCAACTCCGTTCCCCCCTTGCCGTCTAACAACAACTATAACAGCCGCAACAACAATTCAGATCTCGACCTCGAACTCCCATCTTCGCGAAAGCAGCATCGAGCCCTCAATGGGTCCGCTTGCCTGCCTCAACCCTGAAGAGGCTTAATACTGCTGTCTGCTTTGCACCACTTGCGTGTCAGCGTTGGAGTCCTGGTTCGGTGTTCGGTCGTTCACCTGTCGGGCTCTGCACCTTCGGCCTGACTGCTGTGTGCTGCGGCGATTGCCTCTCGTACATTTTTTTGTCTCTAGATACCCCGCCTTCTCAGCCGCCTTACCGATCTTTCTATCCTCACTTTCTTACCCTTTTTTCTTCTTCTTCTTTCGCTATCTAGTTTGAGTCATGGCCGAGTCTCCCATCCTACGACCCTTTTTGCCCGAGGGCGCTCCCGACCACCCAGATCCACCAGAGGCACCTCTAGACGACCAACAACAACAACAACAACAACAACAACCCACTGCAGAAATGTTAGACGAGGAGCGCCTACTCTCCGCTATTGCCGACATACTTGCCATTCCGAAAGACTCGGTCGATCTGCTGGACTCGTTCACCCACCTCGGCGGCAACAAAGAATCGGCCCGTGCCTTGAGCTCCAAATGTGCGTCCATGGGCCTACGACTGAAGACCACCGACATCCTCCGCTGCCAGACCATCACCGAACTCCAGACCCGTCTTGTTCCCATCGCATCGAAAGAACCCGACTCAGACCATAGCAATAACGATCCCTCCGATGCGCCCGCCGACCCAATCCCAGACCCACCTCGACCGAGCGGCGACGACCCCGCCCACTCCCCAGATCCAGAGTCCCAACCACACCGCCCCCCGTCCCATACATTCGCCGACCGCGAGGCCGTCGAGAATCTCATCCTCTCTACGCCTCAGGTGTCCGGCGCAGCTCTCATCAGGCCCAAGGCGGGGTGGCTCGAGGACAAACTTGTTGCATTCATCAGCCTGAGTAACCCCAACGTGTCCTCATATAGCCTCTCCAACGTCCACGTCATTTCTCAATCCCAGATGCACTATGCCGGGAGCCAAGTCGCAGCTATCCGCCTCGCCCTCGAGCAGTCAGACCGCCAACTCGCGACACCAAACAATTGGATCGTCCTCGACCAGATGCCCACCAACCAACAGGGTGAGGTGGACCGCCGCAAATTGCAGACTTGGGCTCAGAATATGAACGAGGACATGTATCGCCAGGTCACCAGTCTCGAGTTTCACGAGCGTTTCCAGGAACCCCTGACCGATATGGAGCGGACCATCCAAAAGGCTGTCAGTCGAGTTCTTCGCTTGCCCGAGAGCCAGGTTGGCATGAACTTCTCCTTCGCCCAGCTCGGGGGCGATGAGGTTTCAACCATGCTCCTCGTGGCCGCCTGTCGGACCCAGGGCGTCTCCCTCCGCCCGGAGGACGTCCTCAATAGCCCCAAGCTCTCGCAGGTCGCCTCCCTGGCCTCGCACAAGGGCGACTCGGTCAGCCGCTGGAACGAGGAGTCCCTCGAGTGCTTCAAGCTGTCGCCCATTCAGCAGCTCTATTTCGATACCCCGACCGGAAGCCGGACAGACGAGAGGAGGAAAGCCGACGGCAACTACCGCTTCAACCAGAGCGTACTCTTACGCGTCACCCGAAGCGCTACCCTCGAGGACATCCACGCCGCCGTACGGACGACCGTAGGCCATCATTCCATGTTGAGGTCCCGCTTCAACCTCGGCCCAGACGGATGGACTCAGCGCATCTTGCCGGACGTCCAAGGATCTTTTGGCTTTGGCTATCATGATGTTACCGGCTACGACGAAGTCTTGAAGGTCATGGAACAAACCCAGGCTCGTATCGACATCGAGCATGGTCCTGTTTTTGCAGTCGACCAATTCCACATGTATGATGGCCAGCAGATGGTCTTCCTCGTGGCCCACCAGCTGGTCATCGACCGCCTCTCTTGGCGCATTCTTATACACGACCTCGACGAGCTATTGCGTGAAGGCATCTTGTTCTCCCAGCGTTCGATGCCCTTCCAGACTTGGAACGAGCTACAAGAGAAAGATTTCGAGAGGACAAGCGACGACGCTACCATCCCTTTCTCGCTCCGGAGCTGTGATTCGGACTCCTGGGGCCTCAAAGATTCACTGAATACCTACAACGAGGCCGCCGAGACGGGCTTCCGTATCAGCTCCGAGCTTACATCCATTCTTCACACAACCTGCAACCAGGTCTTCCGCACCGAGTCTGCCGACATCTACCTGACCGCCCTTCTTCTATCCTTCATCCAGACCTTTCCCAACCGACCCCCGCCGACCATCTGGAATCAAGAGCATGGCCGGGAGCTGTGGAGTCCTGAAATCGACATCGCCGAAACAGTAGGCTGGTTCACTTCGTTGTGTCCCATTGGTCTCCGGAGTGAGGAGCCGTACAACCTGGATTGTCTCCACATGCTGCGCGATCTCAAAGATACGAGGAGGTCGACGTCCCATCGCGGATGGAAGTACTTCGCATCGAGGTGCTTCGGGCCCTATGCCGAAACGCGGTGTTCCGAGGCGTGGCCTTTTGAGATTCTTTTCACCTATGCCGGTTCGTCAAAACAGCTCGAGCGAGAGAACGGCGCCCTACAGCAAATGGAGATGCCCGTGAGGGCGTTGGGGTCGGCCTTCTCCGATCACGGACCCTCGGTGAGCAGGATGGCACTCTTCGAAGTCTCTGTGACCGTCGACCACGGCTGCGCCAACGTCCACGTTCTCTACAACCGCCACTCCAGATACCAAGACAAGATCGCTGACTGGATACATACCTATGAGCATGTCCTGTACGAAGCCATCGGCAAGCTGCGATATCGAGCCCAGGAACTCACGCTCGCCGACGTTCCGCTCCTGAACACCACGTATGAGGGCCTAGCCAAGCTCAACACCGATCGGCTGCTCGCTCTGGGCCTCACCAGTGCGCGAGACATCGAAGACGTTCTTCCGGTGACGGCGTCGCAACAATGTATTCTGATCAGCCAAATACAGTCTCTCGACGTCGGCCACAACACGTGCATCTACGAGTTGTCCGTGCTCAACGGGGTGCGAGCAGATCAGGCCCTCCTTTGCACTGTCTGGGAACAGATTGTGACCCGATACCCGGCCCTCAGAACCGTCTTCATCGACAGCATCACCGAGGATGGCTTGTTCGACCAGGTCATCTTGCGCAGGTGTTCCCCAACCATGCTCTTCTTCGACGCCGCCACAGGAGACGATCCCATCACGGCTCTCAGGGCCCTACCTCCTATGCCCGCTAACCCAGCCCAACCCCGCCATCGGCTCTCCGTCTGCGATTCCCCCACGGGCACCTACCTCAGACTCGAGGCCAGCCAGGCTCTCTGCGATGTGAGTATTATCTGGTTTGTCATCTTTAGTCGAGTGTTTTGTTGATCCCCCTCCCCCCCCCTCGGGGCTCATCTCTCTCCCTTTCTCTCCTTTCTTTCCTCCTGTTCCTGCGTCTAACCTTTTCTTTCAGATGCCCAGCCTCCAGCTTCTCATGGCGGATCTGAAGAGAATTTACAACTCTGGCAAGACACCGATGAGCCTGCTCGACCCGTCCCACACGGCTTGCATGCACTACCTCTACTCGGCACGACGCGAAGGTAGCCTAGCATTCTGGCATGGTCGGCTCCGTGAGGTCCACCCATGTTATTTTCCTCGACTATTGACTACGAACGAGAAGCACACACGCGAGACATATTATTCGATTGACATTACTGCCTCGCAGATGGACGAGTTCTGCCGCCAGTATGCCACTAGTCGTGCCACCGTCATGCGCCTGGCCTGGGCTCTCGTCGTTCGTGCCTTCACTGGATCCAACCGTGTTTGTTTTGGTTACCGTACGCCTGGGCGTGATGGAAAAGGCGCACCACACGGCCTTCATCAATCTATTGGGTGTTTCGAAAACACTATTCCCTGTTTCATGGACCTCTGGGCGTACCAGTCCATCGAAGCCGTCGTGCGAGACGCCGAGGAAGATTTCAGGGCCTGCCTCCAACATCAGCATGTCTCCACCGCCGAGATTGAACACGCTCTAGGTCTCAAGGATGAGGAGTTGTTTAACACCTGTATGACATATGTCGAGGATCCTCCCGAGTTGAAGAGCCGCTTTACCAGCACGCGGCCTCAGCTGTCCCTCTCATGCGCCGAATCTTTCAGCACCTTTGCCTACGATATCTCTTTCCTCACCATGTTCGTCAACGGACAACTTGCCTGTGGCATCTCGCATCGCATCTTGAGCTTGACGCAGGCTTGGAGTGTCACACGAGCCTTCGGCCAGGCTCTTAGGTCGATCCTCAACAACCCGACCACTTCGGTGGGGGGCCTGGATCTCTCAGTCGAGGAGAATGGCGCACTTGTTAGGTCGACCAAGATCGAGCTGCTCGAACCTTGCGTTCATTCTTTGTTCTCCAATCGAGCCAGGGCCTCGCCTGACGCCCAGGCGGTTTGTGCTGCCGACGGCGATTTCTCATATAAAACGCTCACACGTCTCGTGCAACGCTTGGCTACTCATATTGTTCAACGGGGTGTTCGGCCGGGCGTGGCCGTACCGGTGATTCTCGGCAAGACCCGGTGGTCCATTGTCAGCATGCTGGCCGTCATGAAGTGAGTCCGCCCCCCCGTCCCCGTCCCCGTCCCCGTCCCCGGTCCATCCCAACCACAGGTACCCTCTGCAACCATGGCACAGCTGACAGTTGCATCGTCTTAAAAGGGCTGGCGGTTGCTTTGTCCCCGTGGACGGTGACGACCGAAACATGGCAGAGGCCGTTATTAGGCAGATAGCTCCTCCTGTCATTCTAGCAACCGATATGATCAACCCCAACTTGCATCTGCCCGAGGACGGCGTCCTCGTGATCAACGAGGCTCTTTTCTCGACTCAGATCCCCTCTGATGCGCCGATGCGGAAAGCTTCCGAAAACGACGCCGCCTGCATCCTGTTCCCGGCCGGCTCTGGCCGATCCAAGGAGCTCCGGGGATTCGTTTACTCGCACAACGCACTCTCCACCGCCTTTCTGGCTCAAGGCGGGCCCCTGAGGATTGACCAGGACAGCCGTGTGCTACAAGTCTCCTCTTTCAGCCTTGACATATCGTTATTTGAGACACTGGCGACGCTGGTGCACGGCGGTTGTGTCTGTATCCCGTCAGCAGAGGAACGGAAGCGCGACATTGAAGGGGCCATTCGGCGCATGGAAGTGACCTGGACCTACATAACTCCCATCCTTGCCCGCAGACTACAGCCCGAATCGCTTCCGTCTCTGAAGGTGACATGCTTCCGGACTCGTGGTCTAGACGAGGACACCTGCGCCCCCTGGTTGCGGTCCACTAAGGTCCTACTGGCGTATGGCTGCTTGGAGATCTGCCCGCTTGGCATTTCCGTCCTCGAAGTGGCCAAGCCAGAGGACCTCCAACGCCTCGCGCAGCCGTTCCTCGGCAAGCTTTGGATTGCCAACCCGGAAGACTCGAGCAAGCTTGTGCCTACAGGGGCCATCGGTGAACTTTGCATTGAGAGCCCCACGCTCGCCCAAAAATTCGTACCTGGACAGGCTCTCATGGCCCTATCGCAGCAACTGGCCGTCGCCTCTCAGGATGGCCCGCAACTTGTACGGTACATCAAGACAAGCCAGCGTGTCCGGGACATGGAGGACGGTACTATGGAACTCCTGCCGAGCTCTCGGCAGGACATCACCATTGATGGGAAGGTTGTGGCTGCTTCCAAGGTCGAGCAACACCTACGGAGGTGCCTCGGCCAGGGAGTCGATGTAGCAGTCGAGTCGATCAGCTTCGAGGGCTCCACCCAGCTCCTGGCGGCCTTCATTCAGCTTGACAAGCTGTTTGACGGACCTGAGGAAGTGACCAACTTGAGCGTGACGACGAGGAAGCGAGCCTATCTGGCCAAGAACTTTGCCGAGACATCTCTTCGCAACACGCTTCCGGCCCATATGATCCCGTCCGTCTTCATCCCGGTGAGGCGCCTCCCCTTGACGACAGCGATGAAGGTCCACCGACGAAAACTTCAAAAGATGGTGAGGGGCATATCCCGGGAAGCCTTGTCGGCTATTTCCGACGCGCCATCACCGGACCACGCACGGGACTCTCGTGTCAAACCTCTGCCTCTGACGCAGGTTGAGGAGCGCATGCGATCGATCTGGGCGAAGTTCCTCGAAGTCGACGAGGCCACCATTGACGGTAACCAAACCTTTCGTAAACTCGGGGGCAGTGGCTACCTAGCGGCCAGAGTGGCGGTGGCCTGCCGCAAGGAAGGGCTCACGGTGTCTATTCAGGACGTGCTGGGGGGCGCTTCTCTGACTGGGCTTTGCCAGGGCATCACATTGGCGACGCCGGAACCCGCTGTTGATCCCAAAACCAAAGCCCCTGCTACCACTGCGCAGGAATCTCCGACGCGGAAGGAGGCAGAGGGTCTCGTTCCCGAGTCTTTCATCGAAGAGGTCGTTTTGCCACGGCTCAAAGTCGAGCGCGATGCTATCAAGGACGTTGCCGAAGCCACGGCGCCCCAGATCCGATCTCTCGAGCTGGCACTACTCAAGGACCGCGGCGACATCAGCTACCTCACTTTTAGCTTCTCGGGAATCGAGAGCTCGAAGAAGCTGGAGGCGGCATGCTTAGGCCTTTGCGTGATGCATCCTATCCTCCAGACGGCCTTCGTTGTGCACGAACGCAAGGTATACCAGATCGCGTTGCGCTTGTTCAAACCCGAATTCAGAAAGATTCAGTGCCCTAGCTGGAGGCTTTCCCACCTCGCGGACCGACTGATCAAAAAGGACCAGACGGAGCCCATCACGCTGGGCACGCCGGTCACGCGGTTCTTCTACCTCGAGTCGGGCAAGCAGTCTACGCTGATTATGCGCCTCTCGAAAGCGCAGTACGATGACGCGTCGGTTGCCATCTTAATCCAGGATCTGAAGAAGATCTACGCGGGGGCGCAGAGCCAAGCTCCGCGGCCGACTTTCTTGGACTTGGTGCGATCGGCGCAGCTCGCCCACCACAGGGGTGCCCGGACGTACTGGGCGAGCTTGTTGGACGGGGCCCGCATGACGCAGGTGATTGCGCACAGCAAGCCGGCTAGCACCAGCTCGTCGGTCAAGACGATACGACAGACGCTCGCCATAACCTCGTTGGCCAGCCTAGGGATCTCCCTCGACACTGTGGTCAAGTCGGCGTGGGCCATGGTGCTCGCCAAGCTCTCGGCGTCGGCGGACGTTCTATTCGGCGAGATCATCGAGGGGCGGCATATCCAACTGGCGGAAGGGGCCAACGCGTCGGGGGTGCTGGGGCCGGCGAAGAACACGATCCCCGTCCGCGTCCGGTTCGGCCACTCTTACACGACACCGATGGATCTCATGTCGGTGGTGCACGGGCAGCGCGTGACGGGGATTCAGTTCGAGAACATGGGCTGGCTGGATATGGTGCAGGACTGCACGGCGCTCCCTTACTGGACCCGATTCAGTACGGCGGTCCATCACCAGTCTCACGATAGCAGCCTGCCGACATCGAGCTTCAAGCTCGGATCGGCGAGTTGCAAGCTGAACATCCAGGAATCGGCGGTTCAAGATGTCTTCGATGTCCTCGTCCGGTCGAGAAAGCCGCAGCCGGACACGGCGGAGATGTCGCTCACTTTCTGCGAGCACCGTGTCCCGACGCCGTTTGCGATTGAGACTCTTAAGATGCTGTGTTCCAACATCGAGCTCCTCACGTCGGTTTCCATGATGCACCCGCTGGTCCCGTCGGGTAGCGAGTTTTCGGCCATGACCAAGCAAATTCCGCTGTCGCAGCCGGAAGTGGAGACTGCACAGGCGCAGCTGGGCGCCCACAACATCCCGACGGAGCATTATTACGCGATCCAGGCCCTTATTGCGGCGGCGTGGACGCAGGTTCTCGACCCTCGCAGTCTCGGAGTGCCCGAGTCGCAGCTGCACAACGCGGCTTTCTACGACCTCTGGGGCAGCATGATTCCGGCGTCGCAGCTCGCGCAGTACATGAACCGCGAGCTGCCCAACACGGGGGTGCCGGGTCTCGAGGAGGTGACGGTCACGATGGAGGAGGTGGTGGCGCACCCGACGATGATGGCGCAGCTCGAGCTCATGGCGAGGAAGATGATGGGGGACCGCGAAGAGCGTACGCGCAAGCGGCTGCCGGGGTTCGGGCCGCGGACGTCGTCCCTTAGTAAAGGTCTGAAGCGGCTGAGCTCGGTCATCAAGGACAAGGGACCGGGGCGAACGGGGAGCGGTCGGTCGTCTCCCGAGTGCGTTCCGACGAACAGGACCCCGTTTTCGCAGCACCGCGTGCCGCCGGTGCACTCGGATGGCAATGGAAAGACGGCGACGCAGAACAACAATACGTCGGCGCAGTCGACGCCGTCGCACTCGCCACCGCAGCCACAACTAGAGCAGCAGCAGCAGCAGCAGCAGCAGCAGCAAGGCGGTATCCCAGCACCTACGCCAGCACCACCGATCATGGTGCCGCCACCGGTGGGACCGGCCATGGAACCTATTGTCGAGAAGGACGGGGAGCAAGTCGTGCCCGAAGTCGATGGGGAAACGCTCCTTCGGCGGCGGAGGGGCAAGGACACACCACCTCTATTGGCTCTCAATCTGGACTACATGGAAGGCGACGTGTGGGGCGGATTGGACGGGATGGGTTCTGCGACGAGTCACAGCGAGAACGAAGATGACGACGACGATGATGATGACGACCTTGTCTTGCCGCTCCAAGGCCCACGGAGAGAGAAGGAAGAAGAACAAGAAGGCGGAGAGGGAGAAGGGCGAAGAAAGGAACAACAGCAAGAAAAACAACAGTCGGAGGCGGCGGATCTGGTCAGCCCCTTGTCGCCGGTTTCGAAGAGGGGGTATTCCTTCATCAAGATGACGGGCATCGGTGAGACGGAGGCGGCTGGTTCGGCGGGCGGCGCGAAGGAGAGCAGCTCGATGCGCAGGAAGGCCAGCAGCATTTTCGAGAGGATGGGACGGTCGAGTCCCGTCAGTGTTTCGACTAATTAGGGTTCTTGGGGCTATGATATATGTGTTTTGTTTTTTTTTGTTTTTTTCCTTTCTTTTCTTTTTTCGAAGCCGGCGTTGGAGATGGTTCTCGGCGTTACTGAGCGCCTTCTATTCTAACATGTCGGGAGGCTTTTATTCGGGAAGATCCTATCATGGCGAATGGGGATGGGGGGAGACATAAAGGGAACAATGAGTCTCGATACTCTTGCACATAAATTCCGAATTTCTTGCATACCTTGGATTTATATATATGAACTCCTCTTGGAAACCTCATTGTCTTTTTTTCTTCTTTTTTTTTCTTCTTCTTCTTCTTCCTCATGGCGGGAATCACCAGGCAACTTGCACGCTCACCGTCTTTTTCAACGGGGCCGTTCAGGGACACAATCAAAATATAGGGGGTGTGTCCGGCCGTGGAAGACCAGGCCCTGCATCTGCATCTGCATCTGCATCTATCGAATCTATCGTCTACTTAAGCAGAAAGATGCGGGATGTGAGAACTGATCTCAGCATGACGGTGACAAGTCCGCCACGGAAAAAAACGCCATTTGCGGTCTACACTACTTGACGATCAATGCAAGTCGTCTTACCGACTTTATCCGCTTCTATTCGCCGTGTTGCTTTATTACTGACTCGAGTGATCCCCTCAAAAGCCGCAACGCCAGACGGGCGGAGGAAATTGATCGACGTCGACGTTCAATGGACAGGGGGTCTTCGGTCTTCTCGTTGCCCGCCCCCTTGATCCCCCACATAACAAGTCTTCCCCGGCCACCTCGGCTCTTATGCCTTCGGGCTTTCCCCACGGGGGTAGTAAGCCAACGGACTACGAGAGACGGTCCAAAGTGTCAGGCGGCGTGCGGGGTGAATGCATGCGTCGAATAGAGGAGAAACTAGGGGGCCAAGGCTGGAAAAGGAAGGTCTTCTATTCTGCTTCTGCTTCTGCTTCTGCTTCTGCTTCTGCGTCTGCGTCTGCGTCTGCGTCTGCGGCTCGGATGTTTTTGCTTATTCTGGGTCCTGTCCCTCAGTTACATGTCCGTATGCCGTGCACTGCCGTTCCCGTGCTGGACAAACAGACCGACCAACAGACCAGGGGACCAACCACGCCCGATCCCCACGCGGCCACTTCCAGGTCGTCCAGACAAGCTTCTATTCGCCGCCGCGCTCTGCCGGCATTTGGCTTTGGCTTTTGGCGTCCCACTGGGGCTTGGGGATTCAGGTTGGGACATGCATGAATTCTTGGTTCTGCCAAGTTACGTCGAGGGTGAGGGGGTGAGGGCCTCGTGCTGCCGGACAAACGGTTCGCTCTACCCGTCGACGTGTGACGATCCTTCGTGGGGGAACGGCTGGATCTTCGTTGTTCATTCCTTTTTCTCTTTCTCTTTCTCTTTCTCTTTCTCTTTCTCTTTCTCTTTCTCTTTACTTTTCTCATAAGAAAGGAAAGGGCCCGTACGCAATGCGTCTCCTCGTCGCTTACAAGTATGCTGGATGATTTTGCCTTTCTTCGGGTGTTGTCCGACCTTCTCTACTCCGTATAAGCTTTGTGGCTTCTATCTCGCGTATTACTTCGACAACAGCCTCCTTGGTGTATTATTTGTCTTTTTTTCTTTTTTTCTGCCTTCTTTTCTCTTCCTCTTTTTCTTCCATTTTCCTTCCTCGTCGTTCATTCTTCCCTCGCGGCTCAAAGTGGCCCGTCATGGCGACCGACACGACTACCGCTCCTTTGGAGAAGCCCGGTGTCTCCGAGGCCGAAGATGGCAATAGTGGAAGCGACATTGGCCATAGCGGCGCCAGTCCAGCCGATCCTACTATCACAGGGGAGGCCTTTGCCCACCTGGATGAGAAGAAAGTCCTTCGCAAGGTCAGTCATCTCTCTCTCTCTCTCTCTCTCTCTGCGTTGAAAGCTCGCTTGACGCTCCAAATGGGCATTGTATGCTAATCGAGATGCTACCAGATGGACATGCGGCTGATCCCCATGTTGGCCCTCCTCTACCTCCTTTCCTTTCTAGATCGTATGTCCCGCCTCCTTTCCTTGTATTCTCACGACTCCCTTTGCATCATCATCATCCCATACTCCGACGGGGGAAGAAAAAAAAAAGGAGAGAGACTCATTCCAACATCGACAACAGGGGGCAACATCGGAAACGCGAAAATCGAAGGCCTCCAAGAGGACCTCAACATGACCGACGACCAATACAACTGGTGCCTGACCGTTTTCTTCTTCACCTATGCCGCCTTCGAAGTCCCAAGCAATCTACTCTTGAAAAAGCTCCGACCGAGCGTCTGGCTTCCCATCATCATGGTCGCCTGGGGCACCGTCATGACCCTCATGGGCATTGTGCAGAACTATGAAGGCCTTCTTATCTCCCGCATCTTCTTGGGTCTTGCCGAGGCTGGTTTATTTCCTGGTGTTGCGGTACGTTTGCCTCTTCTTCTCCCTTCGTCTCGGCACTGGGGGGGACGGTGGTCTCAAGCCATTGCTACGGGCTACGGTGATCCAAGCAGACCGAAGGGAGAATCTCTACCTGGACATCTTTCCTTTTTGTTTTCCTTGTCTTCTTTCGGCTAACTGACCCCTGACCCCCCTTCACACAGTACTATCTAACAATGTGGTACTGCCGCCGCGAGATCCAACTCCGCCAAGCGCTCTTCTTCTCGGCCGCCTCCATCGCCGGCGCGTTCAGCGGCCTCCTGGCCTTCGGCATCGCCCACATGGACGGCGTCGCCGGCCTCGAGGGCTGGCGCTGGATCTTCATCCTCGAGGGCATCGCCACCGTCCTCGTCGCCGCCTGGGCCTTCTGGGCCCTCCACGACTTCCCCGAGACCGCCAGCTTCTTGACCGCCGAGGAGCGCGCCTTTGTCGTCTGGAGGCTGCGGTACCAGGACCAGCGCGACGCCGAGGCCGACAATAACAAGTTGAACGCTGCCGGGGGTGCGGGGGAACCCGGTGTGGGTGCCGCTCCTGCTCGGGTCGCCGTCCCCGAGGCGGAGGAGTTCAAGTGGCGTTATGTGTGGGATGCGTTTCGAGATTGGCAGATTTGGGTGAATATCTTTGTGTACTGGGGTGTACGTGTTTCTTTTCCCTTTGCCCCTCTCCCTGTCCTTCACCCTTGGCCGGGCCCCCTTCCTCCCAGAGAGGACAAAGGGCCACAGAGGCAAGATGGAGAACGGAATGCTAAGGACCGGAAATCGCAGATCGTCTGCCCACTCTACGGCATCAGCCTCTTCCTCCCCACCATCATCCGCACCCTGGGCTACACCTCCAGCACCGCCCAGCTCATGACCGTCCCCGTGTACATCACCGCCGCTGTCTTGGCCGTGATCTTCGCCTACCTCTCCGACCGCGTCGGCAAGCGCAGCCCCTTCATCGTCGTATTCCTGTGCATCATGATCGTCGGCTTCGCCATGTGCATCTCCACCGGTAACCCGCGCGTCGTGTACGGAGGCGTCTTCCTCAGCGCTTGCGCCATCTACCCGGCCTTCCCCGGCGTCATCACCTGGCTTGCGAATAACCTGGCGGGGAGCTACAAGCGGAGCGTGGGTATGGCCATTCAAATCGGCGTGGGAAACCTCGGAGGTGTAAGTCTTTGACATTCTCTCTCTCTCTCTCTCTCTCTCTCTCTCTCTCTCTCTCTGGAGTTCACACAAAATGTAGGCCATGGCGTCCAATTTCTATCGCGCTCGGGACTCCCCCCGGTATATCCTCGGACACGCCCTCGAACTCGGTTTCATCTGCGGCGGCATCATCGCTGCTCTTATTCTCATCTTCACGTACACCACCATCAACAAGAAGAGAGACCGGCTCATGCGTGTCGGCGAAGACAAGAAGCTTACGCAGCAAGAGCTCGCGGCCAAGGGAGACCGCGCCGTGACATGGAGATATATCTACTGAGCTGAGCTGCATTGCCGTGTAAAGGAGGGCTGGTAAGGGATCTCGACGACTAACCGAGTACATTTCAGAACCTTATAGAGGCAAGGGAAGAACCACATATGTATTGAGCAGTATTTCTAAGGGATCTCTGACATGATCCTTTTTCTTTCTTTTTTTTCTTCCTATTACATTTGCTCAAACACATTCCCACATGTCGTGACACGCCTTCTCCGTGGAGTGAGTTAGGACAGTGGCCCAGGTGTTAGGGACCGCGGTATATGGTATCATGACATCGTAATTCAGCACCCCAAGGGGCCCTTGAAGAAAGGACCCCCGACAACGTTCGCGACCTCCTCGGCAACAAGCCGGTTAATGGCCACACCGGGATGGTAGGAATCGAACCAGAGACAGCTCGTTCCGTCCGAGTTCTCGCACAGGGCATCCGGCGAGCCGTACTCGGTCGGGTGATCCAGGGCCTCGTTGAACGGGCCCGCCGTGTCAACGAGCCAGGTCGTGGCATCCTCGTTGGCGGCTTGGAAGTCCGCATGGCGAGATTCGAGGAGCTCGTTGTACAGGTCGATTGTTTCGATGATGACGTCGAGCTGGTGGCCATTGTTGGCGATGAACATGGGGGACCTGTCGGTTGCTGTAAAGGCGTTTCGTCTGATTAGCTGTGTAAAGACGGCGGTCCGCGGTCCGCGGTCTGGTGTAAAAGGAAAGGGGGGACAAGGCAGGCAGGGATCACTCACGCGGCACGGTGAGAAGAACAAAGTTCCTGGCACCGGCATCGTACACGTCCTGCACGAGCTCGAAATAGCGGTCGACAACATTCGTGATGACTTCCTCCTTGTTCCCCAGCCAGAAAGTGTTGCCGACGTCGTTGACGCCGATCCACACGCCGACGATCGTGTTTTCGGCCGTCCAGGGGGCGTAGTCGGGCCGGGGGTCCGCGCCAAGGGACGACGTGAAGACGTCGACCTGGTCCTCGAAGCTCAGCACGTCCGGCCTGTACGGCGTCACGAGGTCGGCATCGGTGGTGGCGCCCCCGTAGGCGAGGTTGTACGTCAGCAGCGTCGAGGCGTTGTAGTGGGTTGGCATGAACCCGGACCAGTTCAGTCCGCCGCTTGCCGTCCAGCCGGGGAGGGGAGGGTTGCCGATGGGGTTCGACGGGGAGGGCTTCGCGCCATCGATGTTGAAGCCTGTCTGAGAGTACGAGTCGCCGCTGCGCATCTGTTCAGTACCATTTTCGAATCCAATTGCTGTGCCGTCTCCAGGGACTGGAGGAGAAGGAGATTTCCCCATATTCCATATTCCATACTTACAAGTTGACGAAGAAGTTGGTCTGCGCCAGACTCGAAGGAAGAAAGGCCAGGCCAGCGGCGACGGCGAGCAGGGACAGAGCAGAAGGAGCCATTGTCGCGTGAGACGTCGTGTTGACTACCTGATTTGGGGTGCTGGGAATATGGTGGTGTGAGGGTGTGAGGGTGTGAGAGACGGTGTGGCGCCCAAGCAACAGACAGATCGATCGGAACAGACCCAAGAGACGATCAATCGGCCAGACCCCCGCCCCCCCCCCCCTCTCACCCCAATTCGTGTACGTCGCCTTATGTCGTTGCTTTATACTGGGCGGCTCCAGGAAGCGGGGGGTTGCGACATGATTTCTAAACATGGGCCGCGGCGAGGGTGCCTCCGGGGTCTCTGCTGTCTCAGAGCACCATTGGCGGAAAAGCTGGTTACGACGGTGACTTCTTTTATCCGTTCAACCATGAAAAGCGAAATGGAGCTTCGAGTCGGCCTGCATACTTGCAGATCTGTGGGAACTACCTGCACTTCCGTATCGACATGATTTTGTGAATTTTTGTCCCCGAGAGAGGACGTGTACCACTGATACTCGATCCGAAAACGGGCTGGGCGGACGGTCCCGATCTGGACACGCGTGTGGATGAGAGACAAATTGATAGAAATAATCAACAATAAGCACGTCGGACAAGGGGATGCCCCCGGAGAAGATAAGAGGTGCGTACCAGCCTATTGTCGCCATCGCGTCAAGGATGCGGACAATTCTTCCCTGCGCCTGGGAAACGGTTGACTGTCAAAGAACGCGGCTCAATCGACGATGCCCGACAAGCGAATCGTACAACACATACCTTATCTACCACGCTACGGAGATGATTTGCTGCTCTTCGAAGCACGTAGGCGGTAATGCGAAGTTTTGTCCGACATAGACCTAACAGAGGAGTGGTTGACTTTTTCTTGATGGTGAGGTCCGGCCGAGAGACCGATCTCCAGGGTTCCTTCGGCTCCGACCACGTGGGTCCCCGCTCGGCGATCGGGAAAGTGGGTACTCCGTACCTAGGTACTTAGATACGAAGAATGGAGGGGTTGGCATTCCTAAACACTGGTGTCAGTATCCGTACAGACTACGGAGTAGACTGTCAATGTGCTAAGGATTAATGGCTTTAGATAGCCTTTAAAGAAGCATTCGGTCTTACAAGAGAATATGGACCCAGTAACATGACTGTTCGGGCCGATGAGCGTGGGACGGCCTGGCCGAGGGGACGTTGGCGACGTGACCTTCTGCGGATCGTTGGTCGCAGAAAGAGCCTGTGGAGGAAAGCTGGTCATACCGAATCAAAGGCGGGACCAGAGACTCGGATGATCCAGACCCTCCACGCCCCTTGAACGAAGGTGAACTTGTATCACCAAGTGGAATACGCATACGTGGTACACTGTCTCACCAGCTTTGAAGACACGATGCTGAACGAGATGAAAATAAGAAGCGGGTAAACGAAGGTGGTAACAGAAGACCTCTGGATACGTGCATCCGTCGAAGCCATGGTGGTTGATTCGACGAGAAATAGAGGCTGATGATTGATCTCATCTCTGCCACCAGCGGCAGAAGAAATAACTTTCGTCTCAAGCGAGTAGGACAGAGAGGTCGATGGAAGAATTGGTCAAACGACGATGTTTGTTGATGGAATGATACAATGTTTTGGAGGAGGCAAGCTTATAAGTTATTACTCCGCATTTCCCCCTTTTTCTTTGTTTTTCACCCCCACGTTAATCTTCACCCCGCTTTGACCAGCTCTTAAGCCAGTAAGATGCCGCCATTTGCGGTAGCTTGCGGGTTTCAATGCGGTACATACGTACGACACTGTGTACCTAGGCATCTTGTCCAGTGCCGCTTTGACAACCTCATACAGTACCTTACCTATGTACAACGTACGGTAGCTACATCTACCTAAGTAAGGTACCTTACATACCTTAGTCATGATGGTCACTGCCACGGGGTCAGACCTACCTGCCATCCTGTCGTCATCAACTCATCATGTTCTCTTGCTCTTCCCTTTCATGATCGGGGGTAGGCGGGTACAATGGAGGTACAAGTAGGGCCTGGTGTTAACTTGTCCCCTGGATCTAGCGCAACATGATCGTGATCTGTGGAATCGCATAACAGTAAGGTAGGTACAGACCTGTACCACCTGGTGGCCTGGCCAACGGCTGACGTGTGCCCCCGTGTGGTGTCTCGATCAATAGTGTACAATCCCCATGCAATGATGAATGATGGTATGACCAGAGTCACCAGACTTCTCTGGCCCGGCCGTGTGTTTCCCGACTTTGAAGTTTACGAAGTTCAGGTAACTGGGTGTTCAAGGGAACCCGGTCTGTGGTCCGGACTCTTTCCTCTTCTCTACGGCGCAGGTACATTGGGCATTGACCTCGAATAAGGTAGGTACGAAGGGGAGAATGGTACGAGGCTAAGCACGATATCGTAAGTCCCTTCCTACCCCTCTGTCTAACACGCCCACGGAACCCCAAACGTACACCCCTTCCTTCGACCCTCCACCCCTCCACCCTTTTTGTCCTCCTCCCATCTGCCAGACATGTAAAACCTTTCAAACCTTTCAAACCTTTTTTCATCGGTCTGGCGTCCAAGGGTCTTCGTTTTTCTCTTCCTCTCCTCCCTGGCTACCGCATCGTACCTTTATCTACCTACCTATGTAAGGTACCCGAATCCCCTCGTTCTCTTCAACTTCCTGTTGACTTTTGACTTGTTCTTCTTTCTCACCTTAATCAAGAGACTAGAGTCTATTAGAACCACCACGGCTCAGAAACTTGCCCTTCCTCGGCTCTTTCGGATATCTCGGCTCTCCGTCCAAGGGTGGAAAGCGTAAAGACTGTTAGAAACGAACGGTTTATTCGAAGTTTCTTCCAACTACCTAGTCTTCGATAGCAATCTCGTTTTATCTCGTTTTAGACTGTCCCAGATCGACGTTGCGACCATGGCGCCTCCACCGTCCCGCCGCAGGAGCTCGGTGGCCACCTCGGCCTACCGGTTCAGGAAGATGAGCATCATGCATGAGCAGGGCAATACTTTTGGTCCGTCGTTGACGGTGAGCATCTCTTCATCCTCCCCATCTCCTCCCTGGTGTGATGGTAGACTTACAAGACACGGGCTTCGTCGTTGCCCCCCTCTTCATAGACTCTCTACTGCGGTATCTCCGCCGTCTTTGCCGATGACCAAACCGCCGTCGTGGCCATTGCCATTCATGACACTGTCTACCTGATCGACTACTCCGTCAAACATGTCGTCCTCGGCGATGCCCTTCACATGGGTCAAGATGCCATTGCCGACTACGTACTTTCCACGCTCGAGGTGTACGAGCACGATAACTTCTCCAAGTTCATCGGCGCCGGCTTGCCCATCACGCTCAAGTATATGAGCCCTACGCTGTGCTCTCGTCTCTGGCTTGACATGGACATTGTCCCGGTTGTTACCCGTCCAGATGAGGACGGCAAAAGGGAGAACTTTTGGGATATCAAACGAGTGGACGAACAGGCGGATTCCATGGCTCGCAAGTGTATTATGTAGGTTCAGCTGCGTCCACCGCCATGAACCCCCCCTTTTCTTTTTTCTTTTTTCTTACCGTTCCTGTCACCCTTCTCCTTGTCATTCTCTTCTTCGTGTCATTCGTCGTGTCCTTCTTCTTGTCCCCCTTTTCTAACACTGCCAAACCATCCAGGAACTTTGGCCCTTCACTCGTCCCCCACCTGCAGGTCGGTTTTCGAGGCGTTGTGCAGACCGATGCCGGCTTCCGGGTTCACCTCGTGACCCCCCAGAACCACAAAGACGCCTGCGGCAGGCCGACGTGGGATTCCATGGCTCATTATGCAACCAAGCTGCGACGGAACAAGATAAGGGTCGCCTTCTTCAGCAGTACCCCTCAGGGTGGTGGCGTCGCCCTCATGCGACATGCTCTCGTACGATTCGCACGGCTCATGGGCGTTGACCTAACCTGGTACGGTAAGTTATTTTGGCCGTTGTTTTTGCCTGTCTGTCTTCTGGCCTTCCCTCCCCAATGCACGACGAAACTTGCTAATACGAGGGCGCCGCGACGATCCTTCGTAGTCCCCAAACCGAGGCCTGGCGTCTTCCGCATCACCAAAACTATGCACAACATCCTCCAAGGTGTCAGCCATCCCGAGCAGCGCATCTCGGCCGAAGAGAAACAATCGATCCATGACTGGATCACGGACAATGCCTATCGCTATTGGTTGTCTGAGGGTGGTCCCCTTCGCCCTGTCGAAGAGGGTGGAGCCCATGTCGTCATTGTGAGTTTCGGTTCTTGGCAACTGAATTGTCCCCACCCGCCGGACGCGGAGGTCATCGGCAACTGCCGCATGCCCCCCCACTCTAACCGCTGGGTCGTCATCCCGATGCTAACTTTGGGCCCTTGTCAAGATTGACGATCCTCAGATGCCTGGTCTCATCCCCCTCATCAAGAAGCTCACGCCAAACCGACCAGTCCTCTACCGGTCGCATATCCAAATCCGTAGTGACCTGACGGCCATGGCCGGGTCGCCGCAGGCCGATGTCTGGGACTTTCTCTGGAATAACATCCAGAAAGCCGACATGTTCATTAGTCATCCAATTCCCCTATTCGTTCCCCACAATGTGCCCCACGAGAAGGTGGCCTACATGCCGGCCACGACAGATTGGCTAGACGGCCTCAACAAGCCGCTCAGTACATGGGACATGGGGTATTACGGCCACATCTACAACACGGCTTGCCTCCACCAGCGAATGGCGGAGCTGCAGTGGCCGACGCGGAAGTACATCGTCCAGGTTGCCAGGTTTGACCCTTCCAAGGGAATCCCGACCGTCATCGATGCCTATGGCGAGTTCCGGCGGCTCCTGGAAGAGGCCGGGGTCGAAGACTCCCCGCAGCTCGTGGTGTGCGGCAATGGTTCCGTGGATGACCCCGATGCCAGCATGATTTTTGACGAGACCATGACCCAGCTAGAGACGTTTTATCCACATCTCGTTGATGACTGCAGCGTGATGCGTCTTGACCCCAACGACCAGCTCCTCAACACCCTGATCCGCAGTTCCCACGTAACTCTGCAGCTCTCCACGCGCGAGGGTTTCGAGGTCAAGGTGTCAGAAGCTCTCCATGCGGGTCGGCCGGTCATTGCGTCCAGGGCCGGCGGCATTCCCCTGCAGATCAAGGATCAGGTGAACGGATTCCTTGTCGAGCCCGGTGACTGGAAGGCGGTGGCCCAACACCTCATGGACCTCTTCACCGACGACGAGCTGCACGCCAGGATGAGCCACGCTGCTGCCACGGGCGTGAGCGACGAGGTAGGCACCGCGGGCAACGCTCTATGCTGGTTCTATCTGGCATCCAAGTGGGCCGAGGTCGGCGTGAAACCGGGTCTGCCGGGCAATGAGAGATGGGTCAATGACATGGCTCGAGAAGAGGCGGGCAAGCCGTACAATGAGAGTGAAAACCGGCTGCCGCGACATTTCACGCAGAGGAAGGAGAGGCCGGTTGTCGTCGTAAAGGTGGAGCGCGGTGAGGATGGAGAAAAGGCAGAAAATGGGGAAAATGGGGAATAGAGGTTTTCACACAAGTGTGTGCGACGGAACGTGGGGATGCCTAGCTGGTCAAGGTACGGATGGAGTCCTGGTGCCGACAAAGCTGTGTTCAAGTTGTTGATTTTCTTTCACTTGCCCGGGTTTCTCGCGATTAATGATGTGTCGGATTGTTCCTTTTTTGTCGAAGTCGCTCACCTCTCACAATGAAATCATTTTGCTCTAGGTCGTTAATGTAAAGTGTGGAAGTAAAGAGGAAAGTAAACTAAAAAATAATCATGCTTAATGTACGCAATACATAATTATTCAACTATGCTATATTATTTTTTCCATTTTTCCATTTGTCTGTGTGAATGTTGTACTTTGTGGTGAGGGGAAATACATAAGTGGTGTGGGTGTGAGATGAGAAATTGATCATGGTGAAGGTGGTGAGGTCGCAGAGGGAGAAAGCACAGTGCGAAGGAAAATACAACTGTACGTCGAACACCGTCAACGTCAGTACCATGACAGTGTTCTTACGGCCCCACACTGTAGCAACGTCCAGTTTTCTCGCACCCGCAAAAAAAAAAAGCCTCCCAACTTCTTACTCCCGCAATTGAAGTGCTCGCTTATCACCTGCCCTACTTTTACACCTTTAAAATGGAGGAACTGATTTCCTGGTCTAAAGAAAACGGCGGGAATCTCTCCGCGGACGTCGAGGTCTTCTATGATTCCGTCACCGGCCACTCGTTCCGCGTCCGGGAGGGCCACTCCCTCATACCCGGGGACGCCATCGTCAGCTGCCCCTTGAGCATCACCCTCTCCTACCTGAACACGTTAGACCAGGACCTGACCTCCCACGGTATCCCGTCGCCGGCTCATCGCACAGGCGACCCTCTCCCACGGGAGTTCCTCAAGGCCGTGGCCCCTCATGTCACCGCCCGCTTTTTCCTCATGCAGCAATACCTCCTAGGCCGCGCATCCTTCTGGTATCCCTACATCCGCACCCTCCCGCAGCCCGACAACCATTCTGCATGGGCCCTCCCTCCTTTCTGGACCTCGGACGACATCGACCTTCTCGAGGGGACCAACGCCCACGTCTCCCTGCACGAGATCAAGGCCCGTCTGCGGAGCGAGCACAAACACGCCTCGGCGGCCCTGGAGGCGACCTCTTTCGCGGGGAGAAGCCACGAGTACTCCCGCCTGCTCTATCACTGGGCCTACACCATCTTCACCACGCGCAGCTTCCGCCCGTCCCGCGTCGTGCCGGACCCGGAGGCCCTGCCCCTGCCCGACGGGGTCGCCGTGGACGACTTCCACGTCCTCATGCCGCTCTTTGATGTCGGGAACCATTCCCCCACGGCCGAGGTGGACTGGCACGTGCTATCCGAGGCAAGTGGCGCCGAAAAGGCCTCGAACGGCCCTGCTACCGTCCTTGCCACGCGGACGCCGTACGCGGCGGGGGAACAGGTCTTCAACAACTACGGGCCGAAAACGAACGCCGAGCTGCTTCTCGCCTACGGCTTCGTGATCCCCGCGTCGCCTGCGCTACACAACGACTACGTCCACCTGCAGCTGAGAACGGCGAGCGCAGCAGCACCGTCCTCCTCCTCTTCGCCGGCACCGCCAAAGCCGCGGGACGACTTCTTCTTCTCCCTCCGCCCCGTTACGCATCCCAGCTCCGTCACGGCGCATAAACGCCTCACGCTCCCGTCCCTCGACCCGGACTCGGTCCTTCCTTGCTTCCGACACGTGCAGGATACGCTCGTCTGGGAACTCGTCTGCATGCAGACGTCTCCGGAGCAGCGGGAGGCGCTCTTCCCTGCGGCAGCGGGGGAGGGCATGGACGGCGATAAGGAACGTCTCCGCGCCTTGCTCACGGGCGAGATGGAGACGACGGCATTAGCGGTTGTGGAGGCTTTGCTCGAGCGGACATTGGCGATCATACAGGCCAAGGCGTTCCAGGAATTGGAAAAGCTGGAACAGTCTGATTTCGAGCTGGACGAGGACGAAGACGAGGACGACGGGGAGGGGGAGGCGGAGGCGGGGGAAGGCAGTGGTGCGACGAGAAACCAGCGTCTGGCGTACGTGTACCGGACGCAGTGTAGGAATGTGCTTATCAACGTGCTCGAGTCGCTCGAGATGCCGTCGTTGTCATCATCTCGGTAAGGGTCAAAGACGGGGAGTTTTCAACATCCTTCGCGGCACGTGGGCGCCAGCCTTCCCCCCCATGGTAGGTTGAATGTAATACCGAAACCGGGGCGTCACGGTTCTTGTGGCCTTCTCGAGCTCGTCGTCCATCTTTTCCAGAACGGCGTCCCCGTGTGGAACCACATTGGCCATAACAGCGGCGGCTGTGCCTGTATCCTGATATATCCACCGTCGACCGTTGCAGGCGCCGCTCCGCATCATGGAACCTTTGCAACGCCTCCCTTCCACGGTCGACAGCCCTGAACCACCGCATGAGCCACCGCATGAGGTCCGGATCGGCCATGTCGACGCCCAAGCCGACAGTGTGGGTGAGTAGCATCCTGTATCACACGTGTCAGTTGGGTGTAACACGATAATTTGGCCATGCTGAATCCCCCACTACGGATGACCTGGCCAGCGGCTCCAAGAGGCTTGCCGCCTGTATAGTGGCCCCGTTAGGGATAGTAGTCAGTAGTCAGTGAGCTCAAGAGTCGTCTCGGCGAACAAGGCAGAGGATGAAGTGAGTCTGGGAATGCATAGTACTTATTATTACTTGGCAAGTCAGCGTTTCTGTCACGGCTCAATGAGTCATCAGCCTTGCTTCGTAAGGTAGGGCAGGTACTTCACAGGAGGCAGGTACATAAGGTACAAACAGCTACGAACCATCAAAGGATTGTGTTCTGGCGCTCCGGTGGTGTCCTGCTGTCTGTCGCCTGTGGCCAGTGACCTGGAAACCCGAGTAGTCACTTCCCCTCTTCCTGGCTTCATCAGCCTGCCTCTCTGGGAAGGCAGATACGAGCCGCAGCTGCCCCTGTTTATCTTGCCCTATAGGTAACGTAGCGGTACTGTATCTGCAATGTGACGACCGACAATCTCCAATTCTCTCCAATTCTTTGGGTACCTTATTAGGTAAGGCATGTGCCCTCTACCGAGTACAGCGCCCCGAAAATATCACTGCCGGTCTACCTACCCGTCGCAGGGACTTAATCTCAATGGGGATTTCGGAATGCATACCTTACCTTACGGTAGTCAGGGGGTTCAGAGGTAGGTATGTAACTGATGTGGACAGATCAGCTTAGACACCACCCCCTCTCCATTATCTCCACCCGAGAATGGGACAGCTCGACCGGTGAGCAGGCATCCGACGCCCACAACCTTCCAATGTCGGATCATGCCAGGTGATCCATTCGCATTTTCTTTGCGTGCGTTTTCCAAGAGGGAACGAACGAGCGGCACACGCACCCAGGCTTCGCTCATGTCAAGGGGAATGGATAAGAAGTAGGTAGCAAGCGATGATTTGCCGAGTCGCCTGCAGCTAATATTTTCTGGCCAGGGATCCCACGTTCCAGTTTTCGCGAGGCGAGGCCTCGACAATAGGTAGCAACATGGCTCGTTCACCGTGAATCCAATAAATCCAGCAAGTAATAATGTTCATACGGCGTATGTAAGTGGCAAGACTCTTCTTCCTCTCTATTGATTCCTGGCCTGATCGACTATTTCAGTTCATGTGGAGTTCAGTTCCGCAGTTTCAAGTGGTTAGCTCCAGATCCCAAGTTCGGCGAGCTCGGCTCCTCAGATGGCCCTAAACATACCAGCGCCGTGCTGTTGGGACGGCCGGAGCGCCGCTGAAACGGACCATTGGCGCGCCATACAACCTGGAGTAGGTATAATCCTAGTTCCCAGCTGAAGGAAATGGAAAGGCAAAGGCAAAGGCAAAGGCAAAGGAAAAATAATGCTTTGGGTTCTTCGGATGAATCGCCGGAAAACCTCGCACCTGGGTGCCTTTTTTACGGCATTGTTCCCTTCGCAGTTACGTTGTACCTACCTACCTTACTTCGGTGTCATATCCGATCGAAATTAAGGTACATATGTACATATGTGGACATTGAAGAATCCTGTGGGTGGTCCTTGGCCGACCCAGCAATGGGAACGGAAAGCCTTGCATTCATTCGATGAGTGTGTGGGATGTGGGGACTTCTGGATGCGGATACGTGACAGCTTCGGGAACGACCGACCGCAAGCGTTTTGTCTAACTTCTAGCGACTAATTTAGGTAGGTATTCCGTACGTTGTACTCATCGCTTCGCACTTCGTAGACGAGTAGACCGACACCAACGAGGTGAGGGCGCCATAGAGAATGAACAATGTTCAGGTGCCACGCGAAATGTTTTCGCAACCCCCTGATCCATGGATACGCACGCATGGCACGGAATGGGAATGTCATCATCGCGGCAAGACGGACATGGCCCCGTTTGCCCCTCGCTAATTGGTAAATCCTGTCCTTCGAATCTTTTTCTTCCTGTCTTGGTCTTTCTCCCGTGACAGCTACACCCGTGCATCCTGCGGATATTACCGACACTTTCTCCTTGGGCTGATCTCTATGGCCGCGACTCCTGTTCTATGTAGGTATTAGTCCGCCGCCGCCCCGCTAAGGATGAAGCAAGTCCTGGACCACCATCTTGGCAAGGCATTCCCTCCTCCATTGATTCGCTCGGCGGCGCGCTCTGTTTAATAAGAGGCCTGACCGACAGTGGGGGTGGGTGGGGTCGTCACTTCTTCATCGATTTCTAGACACTCTACGTGTAGACACGGTCAAAAGGAGCTGCCAAGATGCACACCCGTACGTTTCTCTGACCCAGGATTACGGCCGTGGTTCCCCCTAGCCTCGTCCCGAGGGAATGGCCTGGCGGATAGATGTCCCCTTTCGTTGAGGGATGCGCTACCTATTACCAAGGTGAACCTTGCGATCGCGACGAAGTGCGTTGTGCGAAGCAATTTAATTCATCCATGCACAGGTCTCCATGTCCTGTATTCGAAACAACGGTGTTGATCGGGTTTCCCTGCACGAACCATCTCCCAACTCAAAGACCTGAAGCTCCACAAGAGGAGGAAGGAATATTGGGAGGGAAGCAATTATACCTATACATACAAACATATTGCGTGATGCCGGCAGGATTCTCTCTCCCCCCCTCGAAGCGGTTCTAAGCGAATGCACCTTTGCTCGAAGGGTCCCTGCGGCCAATTCACCCAAGGACGTGCCTGTGTCGGCTGCGTTGCCATGCTGTGCATTGTTGCTGCGATGGATCATACTGGAACGCTGGGCAACGGCGAAATAATGATATGCCGACATAGCTTCCACGTGGTTTTGCATGTACAAAAGTCCGTTGTACCACTTGGCCACTTGGGGCGAGTCCCAGGGCGTGAAACTGCGATGGCACGGGATGAAAGCTGATTGTGGTTGCAGCTGGGAACTGAGACTTCCCGAGTCAAGTCACAGTCACTCACTCACTCCACTCGGACTCGGGCCGTTTTTGGTTCGGTAGTTGTATTTCCTGACCCAAAACTGGGGAAAGAGGTGCGACAATGGGCCCGGGTAGTACGACATTGGCCAGCCAACCTATAAACCTAGTAGCTTGATCTCCTTCAGATTTGACCAAGAAGAACAAGCTAAGTCTTCCAGGCCACGACGAAGTCGCATTTTTAGTTCTTCTACGGAGTAGGGTGTACAACGTGTTCAGGGTAAGAGGGGCCCATCTAGGTCGGGACACCAGTAAAGCCAAGACGCCTGTGGAAAAATCGACGGCGGTCGTACAACGTATGTACGTTGTATATATTCTGGGAAGCTTGTCTTAGCGTGGATACGCACGTGGCCTCCCCCCTGAATATGAATATGAATACCGGTACCCAAAGACCGGACAGACGTCCCTCGACCGCTATTATTTGTGTGGCGTCTAATCAACGCTCCACCTGCCTGAGAACTATACCTAATAAGATACCGTTTTCTGCCCACCTGTTGATTCCCTAAACTGCAAGCGAAATCGTACAACGCGTTATTCGCAGCGGCTGGAGAAACACTCTCCACCATACAACGTACGGGCCGCCTATATATTAGTACATGCGTGTAGGTACCTAGTACAGAATACGGGGTACAGTACATACACACACCCACTATACCGTAAGGCACACAGAGATATATCATGCACTTCGTATAATATAATTCCAGGCACCACTTGAGTAACACAAAAACTCAGCTTGGCACTTTTCTCGAGAGTCTGGAGGAACTGGTTAAGTGCGGGGAAATGGAAATGGTTTTTGTCGATGCCTGCCTTGATGCGTGACCGTTAGGAGAGAGGAGAGAAAGCAAGCTCCAAAGAATGGATCCGATCCGTACCTTACCTTACTGTACGAATACAATGTCTGAAGTATCCGTACAACATAAGATACCGAGCGTCTTGCTGAAGCCTAACACTGCAGATCCCGCGACCCTTGTTGGGCGGTCATGTGTTCCTGGCTTCAAGAACACCGTCTATGGGCTGGGACTGGGACTGGGACCATTTCGACTCACACGCACAGTGGGGAGAAACGGCACATCAGCCAGTTTGGGTGCTAGGCCCCCACCCCTAGAAGCAAAGACTCCTCCCCCAAACCTTCGGGATCGCGATTCCAGGGGCTCGCCGTTACCATAAGTCTTGACAAAAGTGGTTAGAGTCGAACGGCAAGAACGGATGCCGCTAAGATGTACCTTTATAATTACCTACTTCGTACTTTCGTACCTCTTTTCTTCTTCTCCTTCCCCCCTTGTTTGTCTGTCTGTGAATGGGAAACGAAAGCCCGTCTCTTTTCGCCAGTGCCCTGGTCCTTGTCGGTACCAACGGCGAACCATCCAGCTGCTAGCCGGACCTTTTGGTCACAACGAGAGTATGTTTACGGTTGCCAATGGTTAAATACGGAGACTGGAGAACATTTCAGTTTTCTCTCCCCCTTAGACAAGTCTCGTCATGATTCATAATTAACGTACCACGTACCAACTTGTCCATGGGATCCTAGTTTTCTCTCCCTCTCCCTCTCACGCTCAACCCCATATCCTACTTTTGTCTGCCCGTCTGGGGATACGGAAGCTTAAATACACTTATCCGCCCTTCTTCCCGAAAATCCTGCATCAGGCGTGCTTTCTTTTTCATCCTCGCCCCGTGAAGCGGGAATTACCTGCCTGCCGTGCCGCCTTTCTTATTATAGCCCCCACGAGAACTTTGCAGGGCATTGTATACCGGTTGCTTTAAGGTATTTCACGAAGTATTCTCTGCGGCCCTTCTGTTCCTCCATTTTCATCATATCAGCCCGTCTCTGCCATCTTCACAGAGCTACTCATCCGTCAAATCGCCTTCAACAAGCTGCCTCTCCTAATACGACATATACTCATCTTACCGCTACTACTTGCCACCTTGATATTCTCATCTCGAGCCACGGCCTTCTTTGCGAAGAAGGATGTGTGACTGGATCCAGGTACGCCTATTCCCTTCTACACCCGCCTTCTAGTTGAGATGCTTTGGAATCAATCACCTGCTGAGACCATTTTACGCACAGAGGGAATTTCATTGCGGCCACTTCCGCTGGATTGTATCTCGATGGTGTCCAGACTATCTCAGGACACAGCTTCGTTGTCCATTAAGCGTTACACATTACGAGTTCAGGTGAGTGAATCGAACCTCATGGATACTCCAGGACTGTCCTCATTCTCATGGATGCCAGCACTGACACAAATATTCATGTAGAGGTGATGAACAGTGCAGTATGTCCCGAGTCCTGAACCCCCTTTGAGCTTGACCCCCTGTCGAGGCTTGCAAACCCCACCCCACCTCTTGGCTCGGCCCCCCTGCTCGCATGCGCTATGCCTCAATCACGCTTCACTTCACCCCACGTTGGTAACTCCAGGCTCAATCAAACCCTGGCTTATCGCCGAAGAGTTCATCGGCGATGGCTCGAACACCTGGATTGTCTCGACTGGTTTGCGATGGAGAATCCCGAGCATTCGTCTCCTCGTATCTCTGCAACCTCCCCGTTTTGAAAGCTCTTTGTCAAAGCCGTCGTCGCTGCCAGTTTACTGACCTCTCTAATCGCGCTACAGGCCACTGCAAGCCTAGACAAACCCAGCCTTGGGAAAAGTTCATTCGGCAACACACAAACCTGAACCAAACCGTCGGCCCGTGAAACAAACGTTGCTGCTCCAGCCGACCCAATCTCCTGGTCCCGACCCATCAATTTCCCAGTTAGGGGAAGTGCTTACTTTTTTGTTCGGCGCCCATTTTCTTCGCAAGCGAATCTTTCTTTCTTGGCTGGCGAGGGGAAAAGAGGGGGGTTTTTTTTCTTGGTGGTGGGGGAGGAAAAGCAAAACTGACTCTCAATTTGAGAGAGTGTGTGTGTGAGAGTGAGAGAGAGAGAGAGAGTCGAGAGTCTCTCCAAGCACGGCAATCTCTGCGACCTCTTGTGCGCGTGATGCCCCCATTCCATTCGGGGCCAAATGAAGCGACACGCCCCACGGAACCATGCGGAAAAGAAGAAACCCGGGGCCTGCAGAAACCGCGCGCGCCACACCTGCCCGTTGACGACTTGGCACCGGTCATCCACCTGCAGCCACGGTTGCTGTCGTGGCGGCAGAAACGTGGTAGGACAGGGGGCGGAAAATACACGACGAGGCTCGAATTTATGTACCAGCGGATACTTCACCTTTCTGCCCGCAGAACCCACGGCCATTGCCGAGATGCGCTTCTCTTCTGCCTCACAGCTCGGACCTTTCCGTTTCGCCTATATCCTCCCCTTCGCCTTTACCGGTCCCCACGATTGTCCACCACTGGGCGACTGCGCCACGAAGATACGGCCTGCGGGGCGGCGCGCTTCGCGCTCCTTCGACACTTTTCTTGAGTGGGTGGCCAGCAGATTTGATTCGCCAAACACGGCCGTTGATGGTTGCGACTTGTCGGGGTGAAAGAGATACTACGAAATACCAATAGGCGGCTCAAGATTGAGACGAATGGGCATGGAAGAAGACGAGAGGTTCTAAAAAAGAACCCCGACTCAAAAAAAAAGCGGCAAGGAGATGGCTGCAACGTGGTCCGGCTCGTGGTGTTGCCGGCCTCGGCGTTGGTAGACGGTCGTCCGCATGGATCCTTTTGTGTTTTCTTTCGGTATATGTACTTTGTATGGCGTTTTCGTCTCTTGGGAGATCAGGCGGTGTTTCTTTGGGTCGGGCGACGAGTGGACGGATTCACGTTATTTCTTTATCAGACTCAAGGGGGGGAGTTTTGCTGGAGGGAGGGCTCTCTATTGTCTTTTCGCCAGGCGTTTGTTTCGTGCAGCATTTCAGAGCGAGGGCGGCAGCATCAACTAGACGGTCATGAAGACCTCATCTTCATCTCTTACGTTTTACATTACACACATCCTTTTCTCCGTAACCCAACGTGTCGCGGGGAGCTGTTTGGTCAAAATAACAATACGGCATCTTGTCACAAAGTGAGCATGATACAACCAAGCGGTTTCTGGCGTCTTTGCGCATTTTTGATTGGTACGTTCTTTCGGGTGCCCAAACGTTGACGAGACCGGTCGAGACCGCCGCCGTCCTCCATACGCGGAGTTGGTGAGGGTGGGCTTGTGAGACTCTGTCGGGTCGGGTAGCGGTCACCGCAGGTACGTACCATGCTGTGAACCGTGAGAGGGCGAGCTGAAAATGAAGACCGCGATGGTGGTGGTTCTGTGCTGTCGCAAACTGCGGCCAACAAATCAATATATGCATAGTGGGCTCTATCTTGACGCTGATAAGAGACAGGTTTGTCGCCTCCCGACGGCGGCTCACCGTTCTTTACACGACTTCCAGATTGTTGGTGTGTCCAGTCCAGCGTCGCGCGGATAGCTACCTCGTCGTCGCAGTAGAGAGGGGCGCAGCTGGGGAGTAGGTACTTGAGAACTTCCCCATTTCATTGCTTACACGCATGGGAAGCTACGTGTACCTGGGAGGAGGCTTTTTGCTGTACTACGTACAATGAATGGTGCTTGGATTGTCTTGTCTCATGGATATCAAATTCCGGGCCTGTCTCTACGCCTCTCGTTTTTAGGCGGACGTGAACTAACGGTCGACCCAGAGGCCAAGAGCGGTTGTCTAACAAACCGGAACTTTTGACAGGGTACAAAGGTTCTTCAACGTTGCCAAAACACATTATTCGAGCGCTCAGGACGGACAGACTGTAAAGTGTACTCGGGGCGAGTGCTGGTTTAGTTAGAATCGACGGCGTTAATAATAAGGCGAAGCGGATATTATCCGTAGTCACTTCATGGTTTCACGGGCGTAAAATGGGGTAAGCAAGCTTCGACAGCCAATCAACCAAGCGAGGCGAGAGCAAGGGAAGATGGAATAGGAATAGGGAGAGGGAGAAAGACATGGGTAGTACACGTAGCAGGCACAGACGAATAGCGACACGTCGTTCCATCTTCCCCCGCCTCTTCTCCGCGTGCGGGCCGGTGGTGCAGTACGTGTACATAAGGCTAGGGGATCGGCGAGGACTAAAAAGTGGCGAGAACTAAACCAAGAAGTGACAGGTTAGGGGGTCTTGGCTGGTATCACACGGGGGACGGTTGAGACAAAGAGTGTGGGCTGGCACGCGGGGATGCACTCTATTGGAGCTGAGGTGAGCGATACCGGGACAGAGAAAAGGGGAAGGGATCAGTACTTCCTAAAGGAAGAAGGAAAGATAACTGATATTAATTAAGAGGTGGAAATAACCGGCCAGTCTGACACGAAGTCGGATATTGAATACATAAGTGTGGGATCCTGAACCCCCCCAAGACCTTTCCCATCCTGGTGGAAGAGGAAAAGTGGGATCTGCCACATGCGTTGATGGAGGGTGTCATCCGGTCAGGGGGCTGATGTTCATCGTGCACTTGGGGCTGGATGGATTTACACTACACGTACAACGTACTCTAGAGATGTCTCAAGTCGATCGGTGGGGAAGTCTCGAAATCCCCGCGACGGCTATAAGTGTGATATAGGCCAGGATGTGATATGTGGTTGTTTCGAGGATAAATTACCCCAGACATCATCATGACGCCAGGAGATCGGTGGAGTTGCTCTGGGGCAGGATTGACAGGCAAGAGAGTATTACGAATATATCCCAGGTCGCTTTATTGGATAGGAGACTATAGTTTAACTGACTATTGCCCCCCCTTGCTGACCTGACTATTACCCCCTTATTAGCGTAGATCTGACCTAGCCTGACTATTACTATAGCCTTTACTTCTCGCCCGACTATTAGTCGCTAAGCCTATACTAATAGTCGGGTAAGGTCTATAGAACGGGAGAGTAATAGAGGGTAGGGATTAAGCTTTACTCGTGTAAAAAAAAAACCTAATACTACCCGAATTAATCCTGAATTAATCCTATATATAGTACGATTTAATTCTAATAGTAGAATAATTAACTAACCGCGAAGATAGATCTCTTATTCGGATTAAATTCTGACCTTATTAACTTTAATCTAGATTCTTTTACGGACTTTTTAGATTTAACGCCGAATCCGATACTAAATCCGACGCTTAATAATAATAATACTATTCTAATTCCCGATTAAAGCGAGAGTAATACGCCCCCCAAAGGCGATAGTGGTAATAGGTTTCCCGACCTTCTAATAATCGATAACGCTTTATAAGGGGATAATAATATTAATAACCGGAGCTCGGAGAGGAAGCGATATAAAGGGTAGGTCTAGCAGGATATATAGGTATAAAACACTAAAAATAATAATAATAACCTACTAACTTTTTATTCTGCCTATTTAGTAATAAGGCGATAACTAAACCAGGCTTTTACTATCCGCCGACCCTAACTAAAATAACCGCCGGGAAGTATTAAAGAATACTCTCTACGCCATAACCGTACTATTCGTTACCACGATCCCTAAATTCCCTTAAACCGCGAGCGATAGCGTTATCTATATTATTCTAACTATATCTCTAGATCCTAAAAACGTTAATTCGCCTTAGAAAATCATTTAGTACTATACTAAACAGACTTTCCTAGATAAAGTGGTTATAAGTATAGTATTCTCTAGAGCTATTATTACACGGTATATATTCCTCTATACCGGCGGTATTATATATCCTTATCTTACTCCGGAACTCAGAGTCGGTTATAATAGGATTATAGATAAGCTAGCAGAGTTAATTTTCACTATTCATTCTCGAGTTAAAGAACTTACTCCTAAGAAGGTAGCTATTAGCTATACTATCGTAATCCTAAGGCGTTTCGAGAAATAGTAAGCCTACGAGCGGGGAACCACGATATACAGACCACTAATAACCGAAAATACCTATATAACTATCCTAGGTAATATTTAATAGGTTTTTATACGCTATACGAATTACTATTAGATAAGACTATAGTATTTCTCGACGATTATCCCTCTTGGTTATAGTAACTACTACGACCTTATTATAAGACTTATCTAAGGTATAGCCTCGGTTTATAAAGTCGATAGCGAATATAAGTATTATTTATTTATAAATAATAAGAGGAGGAGAAAAAGATACGGTAAGTCTTTTCCTGGATCTAGTCTAAATCTAATCTAGATCTAATCTGAATTTAATTAAGATTAATTTAGTAACTAACTAATTATAAATATCGTCCACTATCCTAAATAACCGGACCTTAAACATATACTCTATAGCGTTAAATTAAATATCTTTATACTAGCTAACTTAGACGTAATCCTATAGATTATTATTACTTCCTATAGAATATATAATTATATTCTACTCCCGCCCAAAAAAGTACCGCTATCTATTATACGAGGTCTTCGTAGGATTATAAAGAAGATTAGTAAGCTATATATAACACTAAGTAAGTCTTACCTTAAGATTTATAAGTATAAAAGCGTATCCTAATCGTTTTAGACTCTTTCCTTTAATCTAATTTAGTAGCCCGTTTTATTCGTTAGTATCAGGGATAATCTATTACTAATATTTATATAAGCCTTATAAATAAGGATATTCTAAAGGAGATTATCCGAAAAGAGCACGCGAGCCTTTACCTATACGCCTCTACTTTACTTTCTATACGGTACCTTTATAATAAATACCGCTATAACAATAATAACGTGAGTTTTTCAGGGTATAAATACAAACTAATACTAACTATCAGAAATATATCCAGTATGTCTACGAATTATGAAATAGTTAGATAGTTATTTATTTCTATCAGGTATAAGTTAATAAGTAAAGGCAGTCCTCTATAGATTAATGTCTACTTAATGCTAATTATAAGCACCTTCGGACTATCGGTTATATAGAGGTAATCTAGGGATAGTATAGCGAAGGGGTATTAAAAGGTACGATATCTTTACTTTTACCCTTTATATACGGGCTAATCTTTATTATAGCTTTTCCACTTATACGTTACTTCACGAATCGTAAGACTATAAATATATACTTATATATATACCGGACCGTGTTTAGTATTTTTAAGGACCGGTATAACCTAAAAGTTAAATAGAAATATATCGACGGAGAAGGCCTAGTTAGAACGACTATAGACTAGGATTATACGAATATATAAGGTAAGTATACTTTAAATTAATTCTAAATTAATCCTAAATTAATCCAGATTTAAATCGCTAATATAACGATAATAATAGGACTTAGTACCTACCTATAAATAGATACGGACACCGAACTTTACTAAGACTAGGAGTAGCACTTATAGCGATATATCCGACTCTACGAGGTATACTTCCGGCGGGGTTATAAGCGGCTTATAAGGCCTAATCGAGGGCCGTACTCGAAGTATGCTAGAATAATATCGTTATTAAGTTATACTACCCTGGATTAGTATAACGAACTTTACGATATTATTATAGTGAATAATCAGGATCTTAAGGGCTAGGCACGCTATAAGAAACGCCCTATTATGCGTTCTAGTTTATATCGC